ATACTTTCTCACCCAGCCCCATGGCTCCATCTAAACCCTCAACCCTTAAATCCTGCACGAGCCAAAACCACATGGCCATCCCCAAAACTGCCCGAAGAGCTTCCAGCAGCCAGCAGAAACCCTGGAACCTGGATCCGAATTCTACCCTTAAACCCTAACGCCCTCAAGCCCCAAACCCCAATGTGATCCTCGCCCGTATCATTTTTCCGCGGCCTTCCATGCCAAATCGCACCCGCCGATCCTGGGCGCCACTTGCGGCGGGGGCGCCACCGCCGCCGCCGAGACCATGCCGGGTCACCGAGAGCTCAGTAAGTTTGGGATTTTGTGGATTAGGCAGACCAAATGCCAAACCCGGGACCTTAAGCCATGAGGGATACTATGACTTATGGATTCAATCGCGTCGGGTTGTCAGGATACGGCTTGATTGGTGCCTGCCAGGCTCTTGAAGCTGAAGATCCCCGATTCCCCAGCGCAGGACAGTAAAGACTCAAGCCGAGAGAAATGCACCCAAACGCTTCGCTTTGGAATCATCGCGCCTTCCTACCTTCTCCCTTCCAAATGCAAAGCTCCCCTGCGAGGTGAGGTCGCTGCAGAGATTGCGCGCTCCTCCGATCTGGAGGTGGGGTTGAGGGTTCAGGCTGAGGATTGAGGGGTTTTAGGGTTAAGTTTAGTGTTCAGGGTTTAGGATTTGGGGGGTTTAGGGTTTTTTATGTTCAAGGGTTAGGCTTAGGATTAGGATTTAAGGTTCAGACTTGTAGGAATTGAGGCTTGCGTGCAGGGGCAGGGTCAGAGCTCTCTGGGCTCAAGCCTTTTTCTGGGCTTGTGAAGGTGTGAAAGCGGCGCCAGAAGCCGAAGCCTCACACCACCCGGAAGTGTCCTATGGGGGCCGTAAATCATTAGAAGAGGGTTTGGCAGTATATTATACCATAGCAACAATAAGGAACCCCCACAATAGTATAGGTACTTATTTAGGCCCCGATACAAATCGTAAGCTTTTCGCCCGAACGAAGCCCGGCAAAAGGCCTCCAAAGCGAGGGTTCCAAGGCCAATCCCAGTTCGTTTGAATGCCCCAAGTCCAGAGATCGCTTGGGCCAAAACTCTACTATCTGTCATAAAAACAATATGGTAATATTTATATTTATAGCAACAATAATAGTAGTAATACAGAGTTAACCCGCGGCTACTTGGACATGTCCCACGTTAGCTTTGGGCCTCTTAGAGCCCTCCGTTGCAGAAGTGCCCTTCAACACCCTAAACCCTGTCGAGCCTTCTGAGGGGCCCTTGAGTGTAACCCCCTAAAACCCCGTTGAGCCCTGATAGGGACTATGTGTTGTACTCTCGAAACCTTAAACACCACCTAAGCCCCCAAAAGTACCCAGAAAGGGCTACTACTCTACATACTTTCAGGGTCCAGGTAGACCCCAAACTGTCATCCCAAAACCCCAAACCCCACAGAGTCGTAACAGGGGCCCTTTAGTGTAACCTCACAGAGCCCTACAGTGCCTCATGCCCTTTGAACCCTTAAACACCCGTAAAACCCTTAGAATCCTTACCCCTGAACCCCTACTGAAACCTAAACCCTATAGTAGAGGCCTGTACCCCTAAACTGCTTGAAAGCTGCCCAGATCTCCTTAGACTCTGCCCTGGCCGACCTCGGAGTGGGCCGGCGCTTGGGCAGCGAAGCGGGGCTTTAAGGGTTTGAAAGGGTTTTTAAGAACTTTTAGGGCTTTAAACGGTTTTACATGGTTTTCAGGAGTTTTAAGGGCTTTTAAGGGGTTTAAGTGTTTAGGGATTTTAGGGTTTTGAGGTTTCGTGCTTAGGGTCTAGACGGTCTAGAGATAGTGAGGACTTCAGGGTTTGCGGTTTCGGGTTAGTGCTCCATGTTGAGGAAGCTAGGCACGAGAATCCTGTGGCATGAAGCATGCAAAATCGCAGTGGTTCTGCCCAGCACCTGTGCACTCTTGAGCAGGAGAAATGCACCCCAAACTCTAGAGAACTATCCATATCGGAGCCTTGATACATGATAGTATAGCTACACGCGGGAAGCCCGAGGAATAGTATGAAGGCCCTAAGCTCTAAACCCTCAACCGGGCAGGAAATCATGAAGGCCCGTATCTACGATTTCATATGGGTAGCTGTTTCAACTAGGGTCCCTTTTAGGGTCCTATTACAAGGGTGCCGTAGTAGTTTTTGGATGCAAAACGGCACCCTAATTTAGAGAACTACCCACAAACCTTAAACCCCTGAACTCATAGATCCCTGTAGATCCCTTACAGGAACCCTTCAGGAACCCTAACAAGGGACCCTAATTCAGAGAACTACCCATATGCTCGCCTGAACCTTGTTGCAACTACCCGAGCCCAAAACACCCGAAAGCCCCAAAGTCATCACCCGAGTTCTAAGTTTAGGGGTCTGGGGTTTCGGGTTAGGGCAGTAAGAAACTTGAGAGACAAACTTGCTTAAACAATTTTCAGCACGCCCCAAAAGCTTGCTTTAGGGTCCCGCAGCCCTTTACCCTAAACCCTAAACCTTATGCCCGTGACTCTCAGCCCTAGAACCATTATACCCTACCGAGAGTCTAAACCCCTAAACCCTATAACCCTTATACCCTAAACCCAAGAGCTTGGTTTCCTCTGCTTTCAGGAAGAGCTGTAGGCAGCTGCGAGGAGAGCTGCGCTTGGAGGATGTTCCTTGGCAGCCAGCAGGGTTTCAGGGCTTTAGGGGTTTAGGGTTTTGGTTTATTGGGGTTTAGGGATTTGGGGGGTTTAGGGTATATAGCATTTCGGGTAGAATGCTTCACTGAAGTTGTTAGGTTTGGATGCGTTCACACGGCTGCAGCGCATTCTGCCACGGTTTTTGTCTAAATCCTCTCGGGGGTTGTGGAGATCGTCCGTGATGAGGCACATCGGTCGCTTGTGGACTGAGGCATCTTTCGGTTCCTTGCGGGGCCTTTTGAAATTCAGGTTTATGGTTTTAGCAAATACACCCAGCCCTGCAGTTGAAGCAAGGACTCTTTGGCGAGCCTGCTGCGAGTCTGGCGAACAGATCAGCGCCGAGACGCTTGGCAGCAGCTTTCGGAAGAAGGCTTAGTTTTGAGCGCTAGGGTAGGGGATTTACAGGATCTACAGACTGTTCATTTTGAGCGCTGGCCTGTAACCTTCACGCGATTCATTTTGATCTCCTCTTTTGCATCGCCGCTCGGCATTGCTTCAATTTGCTCTCTTTGCTTGGTGTCTCAATGCAGTTTTGCACAGCAAGCTTCCCCAGGATAGTAGTAACAATAATGGAAATAGTACTATGATAAATAGAAATACTCTCAGTAATGGCACTAATATGCTGGTTCGTGTACATCTGTCCAAAACGAGAATCTAACAGCTCGGTACCATCCCAGCCAGTCTGTGCGTGCTTGTATCTTCCAGAATGGGTTGGGGTTATCGACTTCAGCGACCAAGCCCTCCTGCAAGCCATGTAAACCCTACACCCTTAAATCCCCAGGCCCTAAACCCTAAACCCATGTCCTGAAGAAGAGGTCTCACCCAACATCTTCCTAGACTCATACCCCGAAGTGGGCTCCTACAGTCTATGGCTTCAAACTTCTCACGGACCTGTTCTGCATGCTCCTCCTTCTGCAACCCTGAAGCCTCATCCTTTGAACTCTTAGGTAGTCCTAAACTCCCTGGCACCTCAGCCCAAGGATCCCAAACTCTAAACTTCATTATGGGTGGGCCATGGCTTTTGATTGAGCAGCACTCCCACCTCTCCTTGATGATAGGGTGGTTTAGGGTTTAGGGTGTAGAGTCAATGTCAAGCTTTCAAGCGACGTTGTCGAAGCCCATGCTCCCCGATGCATGGCGACACCCTTCCCTGCAATCCGGAACTCCCAACGCATTCTCCGGCAATGTCGAAAGTCTCTCACCCCGAAGACTCAAATCGAGCATAAACCCCAATCATCCCGAAACCGCAGATCCCTTTCTGCATGTAGTCAACCCGGTAAGCCAAACATCGTTAACCGATGTTGAAACCCTGACCCCCCCAAGCGCAAAACCCTAAACCCCCAAACCCCCAAACCCCCAAAGCAAAGCAGCCTCACCCCAGACTCCTATACTCCTGTTTCAGGAGTTTAGGGTTTGTACACTTTCGTGCTATTTATGTTTTGTTTTGTTTATCGGGTTTGGGGTTCAGGGCCGAGCCCCGAAATCCGAGACTCCGAGACCACAAGCACTCAGGTCGAGATGGTGTTGGCTCGCTTAGGCGCCTCGGCTGCGGAGGCCATCGCCGAACGCTTGGCCGTGGCTGAGGCCCGAGTTTTTGGGGGTTCAGGATTTCTAAGGCAAGGGTTTAGGGTGTTATTGTTTAAGGGTTTCTGTAGAGGCGTGGTGTTCAAGATGGAATGTAGTTTTTCAAGCGAACAGGCTGCAGGTGTTTGATGTTTTCCGAGCTTGCAGGGGGATCGGATATGGTGTCTGGCGGAGCTTTTTTCGGGACCCGCTGCCCTACATGCACCTTGCTGGTTTGAGTGGCTGGCCCGAAGCCACACCACCGGAAACTTAGACGCCTGAGCCTTGAACCCGAAACTCATTCTCCCAGTCCATGGACACTCTCAGGTCACTGAAGATTTGGTGTCTTTAGGGTTTAGGTTTAGGGGTTTGAGTCTAGGGCTTAGGTGCAAGTCTACCTGGGCGGTTGTGTATGTGCATGTACATACATACGTCCACTCATACAGGAAGACAGACAAATCAAAGCCGATCCGTGTGTATCTACACGTCGACATTAATATGTATGCCTCCCGAAACTCTGTTGAAACATGTTAATGGTAGCATTAACAACGGATAACTGCCTGGCCATCGTTAGACACAAGCTTATGCTACATGGCTTTTGCATCCATCATTGTTGTGCGGCCTTAAGAATCTGCGTTGTTCGCAGACTGCATTCCGTGAATGTTCGGCTTCAAGCACACCAGCCTTTAGCAAGAAGAACTTTCATCTTCCACACCGCCACCCATGGACCTGCCAATGGCTGCTTTATGGGCATTCATGGTCGTCTTGTTCCGCATGAGCGACGTTGTGCTGTCATCCTCTTCCGAGTGCCAACCTTCCGATTCCCATTCCGCGGCCTTGCTGCAGCGTGAGACGAACCAGAGGGCACGAGCAGAAAGCTCCGAGGAGCAAGGGGCGGATGAGGAGTTGGAGGTGATGGAGCACGACAGGAGATCTGTCTCCGGGTGGGCCAGAGGGGAACAAGAACTCAGCAGCCTTGCTGCAGCGTGCGACTCCTCACCAGGCCCAGGCGGAGAGCGCCCCGGAGGCTTTGGAGGAAGAGGAGTCCGACGAGGAGGAGGAAAGGTCGGTTTCTAGTGGTTGGAGGCGCCGCAGACGCTCAGACGCGACATTCACATACACGACAACCACGACTACAACACCATGGTGGGCAAAAGACGTTGATGATCGACTCGAGGTGATGAAAACGGAGCTGTCAGAGGTTGCGAAGCATGTTCAACGCCTTGAAGGGCAAGAAAACTCAACAGCTTTGCTACAGCACGTGACTGATCACGACATGCAAGGCGGCAGCATCACGGAGGCTTTGGACGAAGAGGAGGCGGACGAGGAGGCGGACGAGGAGGACAAGCTCCGTTGGGCGCGCCGCCGGAGACGCTCGCAGAGAACACGCCCCCTCATCATCGACACAGACCCCACACCACCGTATGTCGGGCCTCTCGATGACCGGCTCGACATGATTGAAATCGAACTTGAGGAGGTTGAGCAGCGCATTCAGCAGCTTGAGGGGGAGGAAAACTCAACAGCGGTTGCTGCAGCTTGAGGGTGAATAAAATCCCTGTCGTTCTGTGGGCCCTCTGAGCGGCTTGAAGCTGTGGCTTTTTCAAACAAGTTGCGTGTCTCCGATGGGCAAGTTGGGCGGACTCGGTTCTGAGCCGTAGCAGTGCTCACATTTTGACACCGTCCTTTGCAGCTTCCCTCATGCTTCTTGTTCCGCATCTCAGAAACAAGGCTTCGGGGGGTTCTCCGCAAGGATCCTACTATGTCGGGTTGCTCCCCTGTAGAATCCTTTAGTGATTATCCCAGTACCCCCTTTGCGTATCCCATAGTATCCCTGAAGCACCCGGACAGAGTGGATATTCGGGTTTTCACAAGTCTGCCATTTGCTTCAACGTCCTGAGCTCTGAGCTTTGCTCATAGAAGCCCAAAGTTAGTCCTAGGCCCTGCGCCCTCCCAAAGAAATCCTAGACCTTAAACCCTAAGCACCCCCAAAGTTCTTAGGGCCTTAAACCTAAACCAATTAAAGCAAGGCCCAGAAGGTTTTAGCGTGGTTGGTACCGTATCACACGGACCATACAGAGGAGCATCATTGACTACAGAGGGTTAGGAAGAAGTTGGTTTTCCTAGCCCGCTATAACTCCTAACTCGGCCCTTTCAATAGTCATAACTCTATCTTATACCCCAAACCCTAAACCCTTAAACCCCTAAACCCCTAAACCCTCATACCCCAAACCCTAAACCCGAAACCCCGAAACCCGGAAGCCCTGTTCTTTTCCTAACGGCTTCTTTTTTGGAGTAGCCGGCCCTGACCTTCGACCCTCAGCGAGTCGATTTCAACAGGCAAGGACCCTAGAGATATGCGGGGATTATGGCTCCTTCAAGGGTTCCTATAAAGGGTTCTATAAAGGGTTCTATACGGGTTTTAAGACCCTAAAATTCCTCTAAGCCGAAGCTACTTTACGCACCCCGGCGTTTAGGTGTTCGGTTTTTAGGGTCATTAGGGTTTCGGGTTTAGGGTTTTAGGGTTTAGGGTTTTAGGGTTTACAGAGTTTGCTGTCCCAGACTCTTAGACAAAGAGAAGAGCAAGAGCTGTCGGCGGCGAGGTGGATGTCGTGGTCCAGGCCTCGCGAAGCCGGGCTGCTGCCCATGGCCATAGCCTTGGACTCACGAAACTGACTTAACGGTTCAGGGTTTAGGGCAGAGTTTAGGGTTTGGGGTTTAGGGTTTAGGGTAGGGTTTAGGGTTTAGGGTTTAGGGTAGGGTTTAGGGTCCAGGGTTTAGGGTGACTTGGGTGCCCTACGGTTGATGATATACATCCTGCATTACCTTAAGGACCCTAAACCATGAAATTATGGTATAGTCCCTATTATGAGTAATGCAGGATTTATATCATCAACCGTAGTTTTAATCGGGGGTGCTCAGAAGGAGGGGGAAGAGGGTTTGGGGTATCTTCGGCTTGAGTGGACTTCCGCAGTGTATCTTTACGTGGGATATGTAAACCCTAAACCCTGAACTCCCAAACCCTATAAGCCCTAGAACCTAAACTCCTAAACCCTAAAACGTGGCTAACCCTGGACTTTCAGGTTACCAGGCCGCCGAGCCGCCCAGTCCGCCCAGCCCCAATGCCGGCAGTGCGGAGCCCTCCTTGGACCGGGTCGGAGGGGCCCGAGTTTTAGAGTTTTTGTCGGGCGTCCTCCTTTTTGTGTTGTAGAGGGATTTTTAGGGGTGGTGTTTTGGGGGGTTTGAGGGTCCGTTGCCCTTTCGTTGCCCTTTCAATCCGAAGTCTTGAATCCTAAACCTTAAATCCGAAACCCTAAACCCTAAACCACCGAACCCCCCCGCATGCGACGCCCTGAGAGGTTTGGAGCTTGCTGCTCAGGAGACGACCCGGCTCGGAGGGCCAGGCTCGAGCTTCTGTTTTTGATTTATTTCAGGTGCTTTAGGGGTTTAGGTTTAGGGCTTAGGGGTCTAGGGTTTAGGGGTTTAGGGGTTTAGGGCTGAGGGGTTTAGGGTTTAGGGGTGCTTTTGGTAGGTCGGGGGTTGTTTAGAGTTTTTGTTTGACTCCTGCTATTGTAGCTTTTGTGATAAGGGTTTTGCAAGGTTTTAGGTGCTGGGTTTTTGGATCCAGCTCGGGGTTCAGGGTTTGGGTTTCAGAGCTTAGGCTTTAGGGTTTGGGATTTTTGGCATCTAAGGGAATTCAGGAAAGTGGGATTGAGGGTGTAGTGATGGGACACTACACCCCAAACCCCAACCCTAAACCCCAACCCTAAACCCTAAACTGTAAATCCCACCCCTAAACCCTAAACCCCCAACCAAGCCTCTGAAGGCTTCCACACCCCAAAAGCCTGCCTGACCTTATGTGGGAAGGAAGAGCGGAGCCGGGCTTTTCGGCGGCGTGTGAAGAACGAGCTTTCCAGCCGGGGCCTTGATCCGCAAGCTTGAAGCTTATCGGAGTTAGGATTAGGGCCCTTGGGGATATAGACCCTGTCAATAAGGCCCCTGTTAAGAGAGCCAGAAGTAGGGTTCAGAAGGGGTACCCTTTAAGGGGTCTCCCTCATAATGCTACCTGCAGGCTGTCCTAAAACCGCTCTCTGTAAGTTTATACAAACCTCAAACCGACTATATACAAGTATGCTAAACCCTCGCGCGCGAAAGGTACGCGAAAGCGGCGCGGAAGAGATGCGAAAGGGATTGCCTAACTAGTGAGGGCATGCATGTTTCGGTGCAGGGGTCTTGGCTCGGCTTTACTGGTCAACTACATCTTGTTGACTCTCGTATCCGTGCCAATGTATGACAGCCTACTGGCCGCATCAAACTACGAATGGGGGCAAGGCAGGCGCAGGGCAGGCGCAGGCGCGCCAGGGCAGAGAGGTCCAAAACCACGAAAAAACGTGTTTTGAAGCTGCGGGAAGCTCAAAATGGTGGTTTTGGAACTGGTCAAGAGGGCAGGGCCAGGCAGGGCAGAAGGGCAGCGCAGAAGGGAGCGGCGAGGCGGAGCCCTTGACAGCCCAGGGCTGTAGTGGAACGCACGTGTGCGGACGTAGAAAGGCACATTTCGTAGCTGTGTGCCCCGGGCTTCGGGCGTAACAGCTGCTGGGCATTTTCACAGGGCAACATGACGGGGGCAAGAATTTAACCAAGGGCTTTTCAACACAGACGTGGGCCTCTGCGCACTACTCCATACTAGGTCTGTCAAACATTCCAAAACCTGGTGAAGAGGACCTCTCTAAACCTCCGTTGTCTGCTTGTGACAGCCAGCTTAAAGGACCCTTTGTAAGAGCTGTATGGTTTGTAAGCAGGGATCCTCCTAAATCTGCATTCCCTGCATAGCTCCTATCGGAGGTTAGGACCCTTGGGAAACATTTTCGAGCTGTGTATTTGCTTCTTAAAAGAGTTTGCCTTCAGCTGTCAGAGATGCTTTTGCGCCGAGTTATGTTGAGGTGGTTGCATTTTCTCGTGCGCGAAAGAGCGCGGAAGCTGCACGAAAGCGGCGCGGGAGGGGCTGTTTCTGGGAGAAAGAATATCGGATAACACCCACCTAGCGTAGTAGCTGAGTAGGTAACCTTTAACCTTTTGGGGTTCATATCATCCTACCATACTTGAAAAGGTTAAGCTTTTTTGGGCCAGGATACGCAGCCTCCAAGTAAGGGTTCGGGAGCTGGGTCTGCCTTGTGCCGTGCTCTCGAGGTTCAGACTTTCGATATTTGCATCGGTTGCGCATTATGAACCCAGAAGCCTGGCTTCCCATGGGTAACGGGTAGTTCTCTAGATTAGGATCCTTTTGAGGTCCTCATTTATTATAAGGGTCCCGTACTGTCTTGGGGACCTAAAAAGGGGACCCAATTCAGAGAACTACCCACATGGAATCGACGAATACCATGATCGAACTAGGTCTCTGGACCTTCAATACGCCCGAAAATCCATCAACGCCATGCGCCCTAAAACCCGACAAGGACTAAATCCCAAAGACCAAATCCTCTCAGCCCTACCTACCCTAAGCCCGATAAACACTAAATGCCCTAAACCCTACAAACACCAAGGCCGATAAACCCTAAACCGTATAAGCGCCAAAACCTGGTAACCCTGAACCCTACAAACCCTAGAGGCCCCATAAACCACAAACAAGGCCCTATTAGTCCGAGAAACCCTGAATCCAAAACGTTTTCCGGCTTCTCCCAGGTGCAGCGCAGGCCGCACTTCGAGCCTCCCAGGCGGCGCTACGCGAGGAGGGGCCCAAAGGGGCCGAATCCTTCGTTTCCGAGGCCTTGGGTGTGGGGGCTTTGGTTTCGGTTTTGGGGTTTTAGGGTTTAGGGCTTCGGGGTTCAGGACTTAGTATCACATGCTGTAGACTCTGGACTTCGAGGCTTCATTTATTCAATACTCTGAACCCTTGCTGGAATCTTCCTCCTTGAAACCCGAAGCCCGAACCACACTGAACCCGAAACCCCTAAACCCTCAAACCCTCAACCCTAAATCCTAAACCTGAACCTAAACCTTAAACCCTTACGTAACCCCAAACCCCTCACCCTAAACCCCGGGCATGCCTTGCTGGCAGAAAAAGAAGGCATTCTAGTTGCACACCAGTTGGAAAAGAGACCGCAAAAAAACCAGCCTGGCACGAAACCCCAAGCGCAAATGGATATAAGGGTCATTCTAATAAGGATCCTACTATTTAGGGTACGATACTAGGGTCCCCTACTTTCGGAAGCTCCCAAATCGGCACAGAGAGCTCCAGGTCTGGGCCTTTCTACAGTCCGAAGAGCACCCGGATCGACTTATTGCTTTCTTGCAGGGCTGATTCGAGGTCATGTAAGGGTTCCTTAAAAGCGTTTATAATGAGGGTTACTACAAGAGATAAAAGGGTTCCTTAAAGGGGTCCATTATGAGGGTTAGCTACTACAAGGTATATTATTGGGGTTCAGCATAGGCGCCAGCAGAAAAAGAAGACCCTTTCAAGCGCTATATTGTGGTATAGTCATCATAAGGAGCCCCTTAGAAAGAATATGGATAATAATTCAGGCTCCTTTCCGAGTCTGTGGAGGCTTGGGGATGTGGGAAAGCCGCGCGGAGTTTCTGGATGAGCTCAGGTGCTGCGAAGAGATGATGGTCGAAATCATCTGTTCGCAAACAGACCCAGAGATCCAGCGGGCGCTTCGAAATGTGTTCCTCGTTGATGGCAGAAGAAAGGGTCAGTGGTTGCTTCATTTTGAACATTTATTTGTCGCATCCAGTCTCCGAGTCTAAAATTGTCAGGCATTTGTTTCAGATTCTTTCGCTATTCCTTTGCAACCTCCTAGTCGCATGATGGAATATGTCCCAAAATCTGTTCCAAGCATCGTCAGGCCCCTCTGCTCCAAGGCATCACCATTGATCTTGCAGGGTTCTAGGCCCGCCAAGAATCAAGTAGGCAAAGCCTACGAATTGCAGGAGGGCCGGTCCCTAAGCCTTAAACCCTAACCCCTCAACCCTAAACCCTGAACCGTGAACCCTGAACGCTAAACCATAATCAGACGCCACAAAGCCCTAACCTAACCATACGATGCCACAATTCGCCAAAGCCTTCGAAGGGAAACTCAACCCAAAGAGTCTCGGCTCTAAGGGTTAGGGCTTAGGGCTTAGGCGACTAGCAACCCTAAACCTTCATCCCTAAACCGAAAACCCTAAATCTCAGTCAGCCTTCATCCCTAAACTCTAAACCCTAAACCCTGAACCTTAATCCCTTCACCCTAAACCTTAATCCCTAAACCCTAAGCCTTAATCCATTTAAAGCTTCAAAGCCCGGTAGATTGCTGTAGTGCCTTGCTTCGCAGAGGATTCGTTCGTCTGGGGACCGGCGGAAAAGCACGTCAAGAGCTTCGAGCGCAGACATATCACAGCTGCCTGAGGCTTTGGGGTTTAGGTGTTTAGGGTTTAGGATTCAGAGTTTTATACACTCAGCCCCCGAAGAGAACTTAGACCAGTTCAACCTAGTTTATAGCCAAGCCCGCCTAAACCCCTTCAGGCGTACTATAATCGTAGTATAATGGGCCCCCACATCCGATTCTAATTATTAAGGCTCCTATATTAAACCCCTTCAGGCTTACCTTCTTCAAGTCCTCTTCTTCCTTGGCTCTGCTGCTGACTTGGCCGCTTTTGGAGCAGCGAGCTCCGCGACGCAGGACATGTCAGAGCAAGACGCGCTGCTTTGATGCATTTACAGTTGAGGCTTCATAGTTATGGGGCTTGGGGCTGTAAATGCAGGATTTCAGCCGCGCGTAATTAGGGTTTTCGGGGCTTTAGGGTGTCGAGGAGCATGGGTCTGGCAGCTCCCCGAAAACCTTCAAAAGGAGCTGACTCGTTAGTCGGCAAAGACTAGACGGCCGGCACAGAGAGGTCTTGACAGGCATAACGTTGGTGACCTAGGATGATCGACATTTCCAGGATATCGGGTGAAAGCAGTCACGGCAGACTGCCTGGGTCACTTCGAACTTGGCCCAGGCTTTGGTTGGCTCTGTGGCAGCAACCACCGCCAACCGTGGAGGACGAGCTGTTCTCGGCTGAAGGTTACTTGCGGCTAAGCACATGTGGGTGGTTGTCAAAACTAGGATCCCTTTTTGGGGTACCCTTAGGTGCCGTATTATAATAGGGACCCAAAAAGACCATAATCTTGACAACCACGATTCACGAAGCTCACAGAGACGAAGCCCAAGCACCCTCGAGGCAACACACCGTGAAACCAACCCAATCCCCATAAACCCCGCACCCACTGAACCGAAACCTAAGCCCCCAACCCGGAAGCTCGAAGCCAAGGATCTCCAGTATTCGTACGGTTGATGATATAGCTCCTATGCCCTGTGTCCCGAGACCTAACACAAATATCCGAAGCGATGAATCCTGGTGGTTGCAAGCAGGGTTGAAAACACGACTCTCGCAACATCGAAGTAGCTTCGACTTCAATTCAAATCGTTATCATTCTGAGTAGTTTGGGCTCGAAAAGGTATCAGCCGATCGACCCCTTACATCCTCAAGGCCTCAGCCCACGTTAAGCCGTCTAGATGACATCTACGTCACACCGGAACCCCCAGTTCCTCGAATGTTCAATAGGAGCCCGGCGGCGCTCGCCGGCAGTATCTCCTTCACTTGGCTGCACAGTGTGTGCCTTGCCGACATCCACAGTGGAGATGAGTGGCTCGTGTTTCAAAGGGGAAAAGCAGGGACCCGTAATGGTGACCCCTACCCTGTAATGGGCTATATCATGGGTATATAACAGCTATATTAAGGGTATATACTATACCTAGGGGTCCTTATTAAGGGTCCCTCCTTTTACCCCTGGAGTGTTAGCTACATGTGGCTGGCTTCACGCATGTTAGTTCATCCGCTTGTCGATCCAACACATGCTTACCACTTAGTTCGGGCGTGCTGGCAGATTCGCGGAGATAAGCCGGAAGAGCGCATCGCGATGTATGTCACGACATGAACCGCTTTGACCCTCTCCCCCTTCACCCTAAACCGCTAAGCCACAAACTCCTAAACCCTAAACCCTAAACGCTGAACCCTAAAACCTATATATATATATATATATATATATATATATATATCCTTGGTAGCCTGTGTAGCTGACTTGCGCCTTCCGCCCTCGGTGACCCTGAAGTTTCAGGCAGAAGCGAGAAAATATAGGGGCCTTAGTAATTAGACTAGGGTTTGGGGGTATTGTACACTATATAACTGTAATAAGGAACCCCTAAAACCCTATTCTGATTATTAAGGCCCCTACATTACCCAAGTGCTTCTAGGGCAAAGTGGGATGCCTCGCTTTTTGATTTTCGGGTTTCTGTAAGCCCTACAGGCCTTGAGCTTTGTTTCGTCCCGAGAACCCTAAACCCGAAGCCCTATGCTGACATGGGCATCTCGATGATGCCGACATTGCAGATGACTACCAGTGGAGCAGCGAGATCGGGGTGAAGTGCGAAAAGACGAAGCTGACGAATCCAACACCGATGTTGCGGAGTAATATAGGGGCCTGAATAATGACCAATACTATTGTGGGGGGTCCTTACTATAAGTGTAGGGCCCCGAAACCCTATTCGAATTATTAAGGCCCCTACATTAATGCCACAGCTGAGGGAGCATAGGGGTTGCAGACGTGGTCGTAAGTACCTCGTCGACTGCCGGCCCAATCGGGCTGGTAGAAGCCGAGCAGTCGTGCAGACACCAAACCCACCCCCTTCCTAAAAAAAATACTATTACTCGTATTACAATTATCTCTATTCTTACAAGGACTATTATTATGATTATAAAAAAACAATACCTCAAAGCCCTGAAGCCCTAAACCGTCTGAGGTGGAGTGTGGCCGCCACACAGACTTCGAGCATGCTATCCTCGGGTGCAGGCTTTGCGAGGCTGGCGAGCTCGGCTACAGCTCTAAAGCGTTTAGGATTTTGAGACCAAACCTCCTAAACCCGACCTGTGGATCGAAAAACCCTACCTTTCGAGGGTTCCTTGTTATGATCTCTAGAAATAGTTCCTGAAAAGGTCGATGTTTTGACTTGAAAACGTGAGAGATTACGATCAGAAGTAGGCGCATTCGTGTTTATTCCGGAGGCCGAACATGCCAATCTGCAATGGCCCGGGTAAGACTCAGCGCGAAGCATTCGTCGTGGGGTTGTGAGTCTTCAGGGGTTTTCAGGCTAAGGGTTTGTGGTTCGGGTCACTTTGCAACAATTTCGATACCAGATCGTAGGGATTTCGGCTCTTTTTCCTTCTACTTGGAGGTTCATGGGTAGTTATAAGTAGGGTTACAAGTCGCCTAATATGAATTATAAGTAGAGTTACCCTACTTATAGCTTATAACCCCAATGTTAACTACACATGAACCTCCAAGTAAGTCTCACAATTTTACCTGGAGGAGGTGGGCTCAAAGGTTGTCAAGCTCCGAAACGCGCCTCCAGAGAAGAACTGCCTCAAAGCCAACCTTAGGAGTACTGCTTCAACAGGCAGTAACCAGATTCATCGTGTTCATCACCATCACCATCATCGTAATTCTAATGGCGCGTGGCACGAGCAGCTTTTAGTGTTAACAAATCGGGCTTCAGAAGGCTTGTGAGCGGGCGAACTCCAAATATGCTCTGATCCGAAGCCACACGGCCGTGAAGGAGTGACTTGGCGGAAGAAGCCAGCTTTCGATGGCATCGGTGGCTTTAGTTTAGGGCAAAGGGTTTCGGGTTTAGGGGTTCGGAGTTTAGGGTAGCGAAACGCCGAGGGTTTAGGGTCTAGGGCTTGTAGGGGTTTTGAAATTTCTGCGATCAGGAGGCGATGAAGAGGTGTCTGCTTTAGGGGTTCCTTTGACCATCGCCGCTCCAGGTATCAGCTCCCTCTGTCCGCCATGAACACTCTGGCACATATGGACGGAGTTACCGGCCGGGTCTACCTACGGGCCTCCGTCTCATCCTTGGCGGACAGGTCCCTCTGTGCGGGAGATCTCCAAGTTTTAAGACAACCTACACAGCCGCCTTAATAATTACCTAGACTATTTCGGGGGGTTCCTTATTCTAATTATGGTAGTTATGGGCCCCCAAAGCCCGATTCTAAAGACAAAGGCCCCTATATGAGGTCCCCAGTGGCAGTTTCAGAGAATGAGGGACCCGAGACCCGACTTCCAATACTAGCATCCTTCTTAGCAGATATGGGAGTTTCCGAAAACAGGGGACCCCAAAATAGTACCCTAAATAGTAGGATCCCTCATATAAGGACCCCAAAATAGTAACCTAAATAGTAGGATCCCTCATATAAGGACCCCAAAATAAGCCTTATCAAGCTGGGGACACCCAGCCCCCCCCCCTTGCCTGCAGGGATCCTTGAAGTAAAGAACGTCTCGCATGTGCTGTAATTCTCCGCTGCCGGCTAGATCGAGCTTCAAGTAGCCCTTACATGCCCTTACAAGCCCGCAGTCATAGGCATTGTTGGCCCCAAGTCTTGAAGTGTTGCCCACGGGTTTCGCAAGCCTCTTTGGGGTTTCGGGTTCAGGGAAGTATGTGCTGAGTGCATTGCAAAGGTTCCGACTGTTGATGGACGAAATCCTGCTCTTCCATAGTATCCTAAAGAGAATGTCGGTGTGTGTGTGTGTGTGTGTGCGTGTGGGTGTGTCGCCGTATTCCGGTGGATGTGTGCCTATGGGAAGACTTCTGCAGCGTGTACGGGCTTGGGGTTTAGGGTTTGGAGTTTAGTCTGGGGTTTAGAGCAAGGGGGGCTGCGAGGATGTTATCTCAGGCTCAAACCCGCCTCACGCCCGAAGTTGAATTGCAAACCCTAAACCCTGAACCTTAAAGCCCTAAGAGTCCTCACCCCCACAACCTCGACTAAAAGCTACCCTAACCCTACACCCAAAACCTTCGTAACGGCAGCTTTACTTTTTCGACAGGCATCATACCCAGTCTGGACTCCAGCGCTTGCGTGCTTTTCGGCTGATCTTGCCATTGTTTAGGATTTAGGGTTTAGAGCTTCGGGGGTTGTGAGTTTCAGGGTCAGGTTTCTGCTTCAGGGCTTCATAGGTTTAGGACCAATTTAGGGTGTAGGCGTTTGCGCTCCGCGATTTCTGGAATGCTTCCCCGTGGCCTTTTCAGGGTTGCAGATCAGTATGACCTGGTCTGGCATCATATAATTGAGCAGTTGTTTGTGCAAAAACCCTAAACCCTCAAAACTAAACACTAAACCCTAAAAACTAAACCCGAAACCCTAAACCCTCAAAGTGGAGGTCTAGGTCCGTGAGAGGGATAAGATCGGATAAGGGGGCAAGGCGCGTCTGCTGGGTCCCCATACGGTTGATAATATTCATCCTGCACTACCCAAAACAAAGAATATACCATTATTCTCATAGTTTAGGGTCCTTAGGGTAATGCAGGACTTATATCATCAAACATATCTTTCCACAAACCTAGCACCCCACGTCCGTAACAAGTCTAGCATAAACTCCTAATCTCCAAAATCCTTAGCCAAAGCCCAAAAGCATTGAACCCTAAACCATCGCCAACTCTAATCCTTAACTTAGCCGTTGCTATAAACTTCAAGCCTCAAGCCCGAACACCCTAAAGCCTAGTCAAGGAACCTTTAAACGAGCCCTTGTGGGATCTTTGCAGTGTCCCAAGAGCTCCAAATCAAAGCACGAAAGCTAAACCCCAAAAGGAGGCCGTAACAATAGGAACAGGGCTCGTTTGAGGGAAAGCTGTCTGTGGAGCCTTGTAGAAGCGGGGTGCATCCTTGTGCCGAGTTGGCGGGCAAAGCACGCATCACATGGAATCAGTTTGGGCTTCAACCCGAAAAAGAGTAGGTTTGTGCAGAATCAAGACAGTGGCATGGCTCTAGCCAACCGCAAACCCTAAAACCCTACAGCATCAACCCTGAACCCTAAAGCCTGGGCCCAAACCCTAAAACCATAAATCCTGAAGCCTCAACCCGCGCAGGCTGATAGATCGCCATGTTTCGGTTTGCTTAGCCCTCGAAGTGCGATGGAACGAAAAAAGCGCTCAACACACGAACCTGCAAGGCGAAGAACGACATGGGTAAAACCGCAGCGGGTCGACAAAGAAAGCGGCCTGAGGCGGTGCAGGGCTTTGGGTAAGCTACTCTTTGTCATCGTTGGGTAACATTTTACATTTTTAAAACCAATAAGGAATGAGAATGTACGTAGTTAATCCTATCCCAACCATGAACTAGTGCTGTTTAGGGTAAGACTTCAGGGGATTAGGGGTCTTTAGGCTTTGAGGTTAGGGGCTTAAGGGTCCTTAGGGCTTAGGATTCAGAGGGTTCGGATTGAAGTTCGGATCTTCAGAGAACTTAGGGTTTGTGTTTCGGGATGAGGCGGGTAGGGTTGAAGGTTTAGGGTCTTCTGTGTTTGAAGGTCTGGTCTTTAGGGTTTGTGGTTCACGGTGCAGGGTTTAAAGCTTAACCTGGCTTTGGAGGGTGGGAGCATGTAGGGCATTTACAGGTCCGGCAGCTTCTTGCCGATTTGGGGTGTTTTCTCGTGGAACTGCCGGCCAAGCGTTCCAGCAAATTTTTATTCTGTTACAGTATATCGTAGCGTAGCATAGCTTATCATAAAGCGTACGTTCGTTTCTTCAGTGGTGTCGGTATGGGCGCCTTTGCCGAAGTCCTATGCCCCAAGCCTTAAACGCCAAACCCTAAACGCTACTTAAAGGATCATGGGACTTAGTAACTAGGGTTATAATTAGGGTAACTATACTTATAACTACTTATAACCACAATTGAGGTACTTATATCCTTACTTACTAAGTCCCATGATCCCCATTATAGAACCAATATAGATCCCTTTAAGGAACCCCATTACAGAACCCTAAATCCAAGTAAGCAAATTCAGCCTTTAGACCCTGAGCGGCTTTTGGGAGCTGCTCCTGGCCTGTCCCTATGGACAGGGGCAGGGCAGGGGTTCAGTAAGTTTTCTGGGGTTGAGGGTTGAGGGTTTAGGGTTGAGGGTTGAGGGTTCAGGGTTTAGGGTTGAGGGTTCAGGGTTTAGGGGGTTAAGGGTTTGAGGTTAGGGGCTTTGAGTTCGAGGTTTAGGGTAAAGGGCGCAAGATTCTGTCCGACTAGAGGGTTGTTCCTGGGATTGAACATAGAGTGGCGAGCTCTTCTTCCGGTTTTGGGGTTTCGGGTTTAGGGGTCGTTCTTCTGCTCCTCAGAAGCATACCAATCTGCTCTCATCAGGTCCTGCTCCCTACCGGCTCCTTGCGTTTAGAAGTGAGCTTTTCCTGAAACCCTAAACCCTAAAGCCTACACCCCAAACTTGAAACCGTAAACCCTAAACCTAACGCCCAAACTCCTAAAGCCTAAGCCTCAAATCCAAAGGCCAAAATCCTAAATCCAAAGCCCTGAGCCCCAAACCCCAATCCCAAAATCCTAAAGTTCTTCCCTGAACCCTAAACCCCACACCCAAAGCCGAAAATCCTAAACTCTACTCCCTGAACCCTAAACCCCAAACCCAACGCCCAAAATCCTAAACACTTCTTGAGACCTGAACCTCTCAAGCCTGTTTGAGGCACGAAGTTTCCGACCCGACGACGATCCGTGCTGCTTCGAGGTCTCCTCAGTGTATTAGGGACCCAAAACGACACAAGCATAAACATTTTATAGGGATATCCCTACCTTATTGGGCTTCATGCTGGGGTGGGGGGCCCTAGTGTAGGGATTCAGGGTTCAGGGTTTGGGTTTAGGTTTAGAGCTTCGGGTTTCGGGTTTTGGGGTCGTGGGTTTAAGTTTAGGGTTTATGATTTTTGGGGTCTAGGTTTCAGATGTTGCGAGCCACATTGTGTAGCAGGCTGCAGGGGCATTCCTCACATATCATCATTGCAACGCCCGGGAGTGCCCTATATATGGATTCGCTTAGTTGTCTTGAGGATGTGCTCTGTTTGATGTATTGTCACTTCTGTTGCCCTCGGGACAAATCCAGCCTTTGCAGGCTTTTTCTCAGTTTAGGGTTTCAGGGTTTAGGGGTTGAGGGTTTCAGGGTTCGGGGTTTAGGGTTTCAGGGTTTAGGGTTTAGGGTTTCGGGTAGCTTCGATGCAATGTTTTGTCTGAGAACCAGGGAACTCCCAAGCTCGGACTCAACAAGCCCGAAACCCCAAGCGCCTTACATCCCCAAACCCCTAAGCCCTTTAAAACCTCAAAACCTTAAGCCCTCTAAAACCCTAAACCCTAAGCCCTTAAACACCCTAAGCACTTAAAAGCCTCAAAACCTTCAGCCCTTAAAAAACCCTAAACCCTAAGCCCTTAAAAACCCTAAGCCCTACAAGCCTTAAAACCCTAAACCCTGCCTTAAAGCACTAAACCCTATAAGCCTTAAAACCGAAAACCCTAAGCCTTAAAACCCTAAACCCTATAAGCTTTCAAACCCTACACCTGTAGCCATAAAGACCCTAAACCCTACAAGCTAACCTTAAAACCCTAAACCCTATAAGCCGTAAAACCCTAAACCCCATAAGCCTTAAAACTCTAAGCCTTCAAGCCCTAAACCCGAAACTGTTAATCCCTTTGGGCTGAAGCCCCGGGCAGAGGCTTCCGCCCTTCGCCGGGCAAGTCAGCTGACGCTGTGAGGCCAAGCCCAAGCCCTGTCTGTAGCCCGGAAAACCAACCGTTTTAAGGAAGTACATGTAGATATGTGTGTACATATATATATATATATATGTATGTGTATGTGTATATATATATATATATATACGTATATATATATATATATATAGAGAGAGAGAGAGAGAGAGAGAGAGAGAGAGAGAGAGAGAGAGAGAGAGAGAGAGAGAGAGAGAGAGAGAGAGAGAAAGAGAGAGAGAAGGGAGCCTTCAAGGTTTAGGGGCTTGGGAGTTTGTGCTCAAGTCCTTCGCATCCGTGAGAGTTTAAGTGTACCTGTCAAGATTAGCATGTGCACAGGCAGTTAAGTTCTTGTCACGGTATCCTAAATCAGAGTAAGCTCCGGAGTACCCAGTATGGTGCCCGAAAGCCAAACATACGTTCCTCAATGAGCACCCGTTTAGCAACCCTTGCCAAGCTATTGAACAAGCCTTTGCAACGTCCAGACGAGGGGCCTCTATTTTGTTGGGTCTCCTTGATCTGGATTTCGAGCGTCTACAGCGTCTAGATCATCTGGAGTTCACAGGAAGCCAGTGGATGTTAATTTGCCGAGTCGTAGAACCTTCCCTACACCCTAAACCCTCTCGGGCTCTTGGCCAAGACATTTTTTCCGCGCGTGACGCACGAACAGAGCGTTGCTGCAGCCGCAGAGATAAACGACCGGAAGCAGGAGTTTCCTCGTTGTTTCGGGCCTTTTGCCAGCGCTGCAGCTGCAGGGATGTGAAGGCTAATGTAGGAACATGGATAATCAGAAAACCCTATAAGACCGAAATTGGGATTCATGTAAAGAGCCCTTTGTCAAGACGCAGAGTTTCTTAATCAGGTTCCTATATTAGGAAGCTTTAAGCTTGACCTTTGCAATCGAGCATGTCGAGCAGATGACAATGCAACACGGTTTAGGGTTTAGGGTTAACGGGAGGCTGCACCAGGAATCCGGAAGTGAGCATAGCTCACTGATGCTATGCAGTTGCCTGACGTCAACAGAGAGACCACCCCCCAACTACTACTTCAACTACTGCCACTACTGCCACTACCGCTGATACTGTTATGTCTCCCACTCGTCTTTCCTTTTTGGAAGTTCACACCAGCCACGCATGCCGCAGGCCAACATTTTTGATCTTATTGGATATGTAGGACGGGAGTCCGGAAAATGTCAATGTGGTGCGATGGCCAGTGCGGTCAGACAACTGGGCTTGCTCCGACACAGGGGCTCTCACCAAATCTGGAGGACAACAGTTCGGGTTTAGCGACATCTCGCATGTGTGGCTGCATCTACTTATTGATTTTGGGAATAGGGTTTATGTCATTAACGGTTTTTCATATGGCTCCAATTCCAGCCCCTTTCAGTGGTTTTGATTGCAGACTCTCCAAACCGTGAACGTTCAATGCAAGTCGTAGAAAGGTTTTTCGGGAAACCAGGGGGGTCGTGATCAAGCACAAGGCCAGCATGGTGGCTTGTATGATGCATTATGCGAAACAGCGGCATTTTTAGTGGATTAGACCATGTTGCAGTTCAATCCGTTTTTTCTCATGGTGCATTATACGTCATATGCGTTGTGATAGGTTTTTTAATGGGATGATATTTTGTTGTATTTGCACTATGAAATGTTTTGTCGTTTCAGATCAGACTAGGTTAGACCAGGTTACTTGTCGTCATGTTGCACAATGCTACGCCACACCAGGCGACATCATATTCTTTTATGATATACTTTAGACATGACATCATACTTCAAGATATCGCATAGGTAGCATGCTCACTACCATGCAGCATGCATGGTCTAACATCAGGCCATAGAACCTCATGTAGCATAGCAAGACTTATGTTAATATGATAGCATGCAATTTATCATCTTTCAAGAAGCTTGTTGGAGTGCAATACTGCACACTGTAGCATGAGACAACATAGCATGATACAATATGGGTACAACAGGACATAGCAAATTGTAAATTAGTAGGCTGTACTGTAAGACCAGAGCAACATGTTATTTACCATGTAGCCATATCAACATCTTAACTTTTCTTATGTCCTCAAATCTTGTTGTTACCAACATTTAATATTGTCTGGTGACATGTGATATGTCATTTAATACCATATACGGTCGTATATTCTCGTTAACATCATCGAGCATCACATAGAGTAGCGTATTTTGCCATATTGCAATATGAGTCAATATAATAGATGACTGTATAGTAAAGTACAACATAGTCCAGTGTAGTATAGCACAGCACAATGTTTCCAATTATTAACTTATGTAAGAACAACATAAGATTGTAAAATGCATGCTCCCGCAGCTCTGCATAATATACGAGCCTGAATAGTTACCAATGCTGTTCCTTAAGGTTCCCTCAACCCTAAACTCTAAGCCCTAAACCCCTAAACTCCTAAACTCTAAACTGTTCCCTAAGGTTCCTTATTCTGACATTGCTACAGCAATCGGCCCGCACCAGTTTGGCCCGAGGCATAGGGAAGTATGGCTTAAACATGCCTCGCTGTCGAAGAGCTCAGACTCTGCTACAGGAGGAGCGCTTCTCGATGGAATGGCCCATGTGGCTGATACCAGGCGACATTCTGCCGCGCGGGTGGCATCGATGACAAGACTCCGGGTATAGGATTTGGTGCTCAAGGCATTTCGGAGTGATTATTTTTGCTGTTCGGGAAAGCTGTGTTTGAAGCCGTTCTTCAACTTTTTCCGCTGGCAGAGAGAACTAGTGGAACATTCATTGTTGTGTTACATGTGTGCAACTCGAAATCAACTTAGGACGAGCTTACCCCGGATCACTACTCATGAGGATCTCGTGCGAGAAGGCGCAGCAAGTTGCCAGTTGGCTGGGTTTGGGGAGCCCAGGATTACAGCAAAAGGTTCCGGGGCTTCCTCAATGTTTGCGCACCTTGCACAGAGGATCTTATACTGTTCAGGTCTGTGCTGAGGTGTCTTGTTTTCTGAGACTCTCGTTTGGGGACCAGGGTTTAGGGTTTAGGGCGGCCGAATTCCCTGACCTTGGTCCGTTCACGCCAAAATGATCCATACAAAGATTCCCAATCAGGACCCGGGTTTCTAAATCAAGCTCCTGCGCCAAACCGAAACCCGGAAGCCAAGGATGCAGTTGTGACCTAGTCGATACTATAGGGGCTTCAATAATTACCAACACTATTGGGGGAGTTCCTTTTTATAAGTATAGTCTAATATTAGCCCCAAAACCTTATTCTAATTCCTAAGGCCCTTACATTACTTAGAATATTTCCCCCCAAAAAACGCTACTCGAAAAAACCCTCAACCCCAAGCCCAAAGCCCTAAACCCTCAGCCCTAAACCTAAACCCTGAAACTTTCAATCCTACTTGGAGGTTCATGGGTAGCTATAAGTGGGATATATGCAGGGTAACTATACGTATAACTCATATTAGCGGACTTATCACCCTACCTATAACTACCTGTGAACCTCCAAGTAATCCTTCAGTCCGAAAGGCAAACTCCGCCAGTGGCAGCCGGGGCACCCGAGGAGAGTCGCCTTGATCTCCCACCAGTGGGCTCCTGGTCTCTGCTCAGAGGTTTTCGGGGAGTTGGGGTTTAGGGGTTTAGGGTTTAGGGGTTCAGGCTGTAGTAGTTTCGGTTTAAGATTCAGGATTTATGGGTTTCGGGGGTTTAGGATTAGGCGGATATAGCTTAGGGGGTTGGGCATTAGTGGTTTAGGGGTTTGGCGTTCAAGGCTTACTGTTTCCGATTAGCTCGGCTGAGAAGGTTTACGTGCGGTGGTTTAAACGTGCGGTGCCTGCGGTGTAGTTTTAAACCTAGGCAAGCACTCGCCCGCCCAAAGAAGCCAATAGCATTAAGAAATACAAAGTTCTTCATATGTTCACCACATAGCTAGTGTATGGTAGTAATTAACCAGTAAATCTAACTTCATTTCAGAAATTTAGAAGCAACAGTATTCTAAAACATAAGCAAATGGGAAGCAGCACAACTTGTGGAGATCAGCTCAGCCGGAATCATCTCTGATATCTCCAGCTCATTTGGTTCAGTCAGTATGTCAAAGTACACGCTACCTCACGGTGGCATTCACTGCGAACACCGACTTTCATCGCAATGAAGATGCTTTATGGGTAGGCCTCAATCCTGAACGCTAAGGTGTAGATCCTAAATTCACAAGCCTAAAACCTGACATTCACAATGCTTCATCCTCAGCCCCGAAGACCATATCCTGAGCGCTTGGGCCTGATTCCTGAACGCTTCGGATCCCAGGATTTGCCCAAGACGAAGGTCTTGCCAGAAACGAGGAAGGATTTGCAAAACACGCCCCGGCATTAGCGACGAAGGTTTTGCCAACCACGACGAAGGATTTTCCAACCACAACGAAGGATTTGCAAACAACGACGAAGCTCCGCCGAAGTTGTCCGTTTTGGCAATCCTTTTGTCGTCGCCGGCAAATGTTGCCGGCAACGACAAAACACATGTTAAATAACCACATAAGCAAGCAAGCCAGCAAGCAAGCAAGCAAGCACTCAGCTAGACAACCAGGCAGGCAAACAGCTAGGTAGATAGATAGATAGATAGACAGGTAGCAGGTAGATAGACACATAGATGATTTCGTACACATATCACCTGTACATAACATGTTTGTCTATACAAATATATGTAGACATATATGAATAAACATAAATAAAAAAGCAAATATATATATATATATATATATATATATACGTATACACATACATATATATATATATATATATATACATGTATGTATGCATGTTTGAAACAGAGGTTTCGGATCTAGGGCGTAGGGGAGCTGCCATGGCGAAAGCTCCAAAAGGGAATTTTTGACCACAGGTGAGCGGTTGTCACAAGTATGGTCCCCTTTTGGGGTCCTAATATACGGTTGATGATATAAATCCTGCATTACCTCGAGGACCCCAAACTATGGGAATTATGGTATATTCATTGTTATGGGTAATGCAGGATTTATACCATCAACAGTAATATAGCACGGCACCTATTTTTTAGGGTCCCCAAGAAGGGACCCTAGTTTCGACAGCCACCCAGGTGAGCGTGGACCATCCGGATCCTCAGGGCAAGCAGCTTGCTGTTCTCCAGGAGGCACTCCGAAATATGGCCTCAGGCAGGATGTAGGGTTTACCGTTTAGTCATAATTAGTATCCCTGTTTGTATCCCTGAAAATATCCCTTACAGTATCCCTTATCTCCGAAACATGGCATCAGGCAGGATTCGATTAAAAACTGAGCCCTCAAGCCTGAAGGTTAGCTAGGCCCCCACCCCCCTCAGCTCCCACACGAGGCAAAGCATCCGTGGTTGTGGATGCTTTCACTGCTGGCGAACCAGGTTTTCGACCCGGTATTGAGCTGGCGATGCCTTCTGCAGAGGAGCAGAGGGCTTGCCTGCAATGGGATTATTGGTATGACTACTTCAGCATTCCACAGCTGGATATGCAATCCCTGCACATGGCTATAAGAAGCATTCCTGCATATTGCAGCGTGGTGGACTTCACTATCGTTCTGGCACCCTGTCTCCAGCACGAGGACACTGGAGAGGTTCTTCGTCCAAGCTTTCCAAAATGTTACAAGAGTTCAAAGCTGGGGTTTCGGGTCGGGTAACCCCCGCTGCCCGCTGAATTTCTTGCCAACCCGTTGCTTACAAACGGAGCCCCGGCCGTGCCAGCCGTCCGTTCCCAAAGCCCCACAAGCTGCCCCGTACTGTAAGCCCTCAACCCCAAGCGCAAAGCCTGCAACCCCTAAATGCCAAACCCAAAACCCTTGGCCCTCAAGCTTAAACTCGCACCCGGATAAAGGTTCTCGGCGTATTCAGCTGGCAGCGACGGGGCTGGTGTAGGCAGAGTCCGCACTTTCGGCGGGTGACGGTTTAGGGTGTAGGGCCTCGGGGGGACCAGGGATTCGGATTTTTGGGTTTAGCGCTCCTTGAACCACTTTAGTCACGCTCGCTTCAGATGTTCAAGTTTCGCAGCTTCACGTCACCAAACCTCGCCCCACCATTCACTGCTCCTGAACTACATTCGAAACGGTTTAAGCAGTTCTTCCGTCTCTCTTGTAGCTAAAGTTTCCCGAAGGCTTGGGGCGCAGGTTGGTCATCACATAATGACCAGATCGCTTCAGACCGGCACCGTTTCAGGAGCTCACATAGCTTAAGTCGAGTGAGGAGGGCTTGTGTAAACTAAAGAGGGCTTTTCTGCTTTTCAAAACCGTTTAGCAGCTCAAGTGTCTTATGTCGAGTGACCGTTGCTTGCCGCGTCACCCACGTTCTTGGTTGCAGGCTGGAGCGATCGGCAAGTCTTCTCGCCAGCCGCGCATGCTTAATTATGGTTACAAGCCCGCAGAAGTTCGTCGTGAAATCCGGACCAGAGTGGGTTTCCGGATGGCCAGTTGAGGGAGATTTTTCCTTGGAGACGGACCGCCACATGGTGGGCGAAGTCACCAGCTTTCTCCTATCCATCTACCGCACAGGCCTCTCTCAACCCTTAAACCCTAAAGTTTTAAATCCTGAGCCATCGCAACCTAAAGCCCTAAACCCAAACCCGGAACCTAGACCCTCTGTCACACAGGTCTGTTGAAGAAAGGGCACCTGCAAGCATGGCGCTTCTACACGGCATTGATGTCCAAAACGAAGCTGGGAGCAACGTCGAAAGCGTTTTTTTCAGTTTCTGTAGGCTTCATGGGGTGTTTTAGGGGTCTACTATAGGGACTTTGTTTTTGTTGCAGTAAGTAGCAGTTTTCTTGTTGTGGGCCAAAGCGGGTGAAAGGAAGTTGTACCCGGACTTCCCGCCGAACGAGGGTCTTTCCCACTTCCTCCAGCGATACAACATGAGCGCTTCGGACTCGTCACAGCTCTCGCCCCTGATGCTCGCAAGCATGGAGGGCAACTTGAGCGTGATGCAAGCCTTGCTGCGTGAAGGGTGCGACGTTGATGCCGTGACGAAGTTTGAAATCCCTGAAGCACATGTTAACGGCACAAACACGGCCCTGTCTTTGGCCGCACTCTTCTCTGCACCAGAGGCGGTACAGCTGCTTCTTGAGGCACCCTCCCACCATTTGTTCTTGCATAGGGCACAGGGTGTAGTATAGAAATGCTTACCTATACTATTCTGAGGGTTCCTTATTATGGTTATAATATAATATACCCCAAAACCTATTCCTATTGTTAAAGCCCCTCTATTAGTGACCCTACACTTGTGCTTCACGTGGAGGGCGGGGCCTCCTTAGTTGCGGAAGTGTTACTATGACGTTGAGGTACGAGTTGATCTTAGGGTTTAGGGTTTAGGTTGTAGGGTTAGGGGTTGGAGTCTTAAGGCTGGGTGTTAGGGTTGAGGTCTTGTGTATGGAAACATGTGGTGGGGTTTGGGTAGTGCCACAATCCGCCGCGGGAGCGCACGTGTCGAACATTTAGGGAGTTCTTGCGCATTTGTTCAAATCCTGCACTTCGGGCCTATGTTAGTATTTATGGCCTGATCTTCTAAACCCTAAACCCCATTGATTTGCGCCGGTAGCCCCCACCGGGGCCAACGCTTGCCGGAGCAGGCTCGAGCGTCGGTGAACCTGCCCAAGGCTCAGGGCGGCGTGTCGCCCGTGCAGCACATATAAGCTTTAGCGTTTTTTTGGTGTTTAGGGAGGAGTAAGAGAGTCGATCCCTACATTCCTCCCGGCTCCACTCTCCCCTAAGCACCATCACGAAAAGCAGACGGAAGCAGATCTGTTGTACGAAGGATCTTAACTTGTAACTGAATGCTGAAAACTGCGGACCTTGTAGCTTAGAGCTTGTTTTTGCTATGAAGGATCCACGGTTACTACAAGCGTAGGAAGTCTGTTTATTTGTTGGAGGCCGGTTTCTACACATCAACATAGCGTTGCGGCTGCGTCTGCGTTACAACCGATAAGGTTTGGTGTGGTTGTTCTTGGGGTGTAAGATCTTGAGCTACCTTGTTTAGGGCCCCCTGCCTCCTATTGAAGCCTAAGCCCAACCTCAAAAACCAAAGCACTGAATTCAATAAATCCAAAGACTTAATCTTAAGCCCTGCATCTTTTCACCGCATCCGAGGCCACTGCTGGCTCAGGCAAGCTACTTTGGGAACGCTGCCGTTTTGCCCTCCCTGATGCTAGCACGTGCTGATGTCAACGAGGGCTGCTTCGTAGTCGCCGGGGCATTGAAACTCGTGCGGTCGAGGATTTTGAATGTACGGTGCTGGCTTTTTTAAATCTTCGGGTGGAGATAGATGGATAGACAGATGATAGATAGATAGATAGAGACGAACAAAAAATGTATGTATATATTTGTATGTATGTAGGTAGAGGGTTTTGGGTTTAAGGTAGAGTCAGGTAGAGGGTGCAGGGTCTAGCGGTGGAGGGCTTGGGGCGCCTGACCTCCTCAGTTGTCATCTCGAGTCTTGAACGGCCGTGGCGAAGAAGCAACTACTTTCAGCCGCTAGCTCTTCAATCGAACCCAAAGTCCCAAACCCTAAACCCTAAATCGAAACCCGAAAGCCGAGCCCCGAATCCCGAAAACCCTAAACCCTTTTTCCTCAGACCCGAAGTCAGTTTCATTCTGACATGTGGAATGACGGCGCTTTGAACTCGCCTCGGCAACATTTCTAAAGCTTTGCTCGTTTAGGGTTTAGGTCCGGGGTTTAGGTCAAGGTTTTGGTCAGGGTCTACTGCTGCAGGTTCCGGGTCCATTTCTTCTTGGTTCTTGGTAGAGGATTAGGGTTTGGGGATGGGGTTTTGAAGTCTTTGAGCACGACCAAGGAGTTTATCCGCAACCAGCAGCAATCCGAAGTGCACACGAATCTAGGACGTTCTGTGATACACTTTTGGTTTCAGTTTAAAGCTTTTTGTTTTGTTATGGTAAAAGGCAAAGATTCCCTAAGCCCCTCAACCCTAAACTAAACCCTAAACCCCTCAACCCCTAAACCCTAAACCCTATACGTCTTCCCAGTGAGTGGTCTACTGAAGGAATCCTCCTGGAACATAGAGCAGATCCGAATCTGGAGGGAACTCTGGGAGGGCGGCCGTCTCTCGGTTTGGAGATTAGGGCCTTTGAGGTTTAGGCGTTTGGGGTCTAGGGTTTAGAGATTAGGGTTTAGGGTTTAGGGGTTTACGGTCTAGGGTTAAGGGTTTAGGGGCAGTGCTGTGTTTAGGTTTTGGGATATTATGGCTTACTTTGGGACTTGGGGCTTTTAGGGTGGAGGGTTCCGTGTTTACCTGCGACCCCAAACCCTCCAAAATAGTAGGTCATGACCCCTTTCTTTGACGGTGGAACGCTAAAACGGTAGGTTGTTGGATCCCCAGTTCTGGTTTCAGGACTTTTTTGGGGTCCTAAACCCGAAACCCTAAATCAGGGTTTGGGCGGGCGGAGAAGCTTGCGGGTTCTTTAGGGTTTAGGGTTTAGGGCTTCGGGATTATAGGGTTTAGGGTTTTAGGGCTTCGGGATTTTGCAAGGTTTAGGGCTCCGGGGTTTGGAGCCGTGCACCGTCCTCAAACTGCCCCCAGAGCCAAATCCTCTTATGCGCATTCCGTCCGAACCGGGGCTCCGATGGCGGGGCACGAAATTAGTCCCTGTACTCGCCACCCTACGTGGCAAACCAGTGGACACCAAAGCACACAATGCGATAGTAGCCCGGCGTCCCAAAGCATAGGAAAGCGAGTGCGGGGGTGGCGACACACGGTTCAGGGCCCACCCGAGTGTTCTAGCATAAGCGTACCCAGACACCCAAAGGCTTTGTATGGCGGCCTTGATGCAAGCAGACGCACGGCACACGCAGCTCTTGTTGGAAGCCCGTGCCGACCCGAACTTCGCTCTTCTTTGGAAGTCTTTCTTTGAGTCGAGGGTTTTGGGGTTTTGCTTTTCAAAGTCTGGGGAGTTAAGGGTTAGAGGTGTAGGGTTTAGGATCACGGAGTTTGAGGGTCTGGTTAAATTTCTGTGGCACATTGAGTTGAACTGGGGCGTTTCTTTGGAGTCCCAAGTGATATTCGGAAGCATGCCGCTCTCCGGGGTCTTGATACCTGATATCCGGTCAATGCTTGGATTTCGTTCCGGAGGGCTTCTGGGCTTAGGATTTTGGGATTCCACTCTCGGTTGCTGTGTGTGGGCTTGCGCACCTGAACCTGAGGAGCCACGACGCTCGCAGGTGTAGGAATCGGCACAAGAGCGAGATGGGTTCGAAAGTCACATAGGCCTATGGCGATCTCTTGACATCTTCTTGCATCCAGATCTTACGGATAAGCCTGACCAAACCCTAAACCCCAAATCCCAAAATCCCTAAACCCTAAGCCCTAAAGCCCTACAGCCCTAAGCCCTAAACCCTGAGCCCAAAGCCTAAGTACAGGAATGGCATCAGCCGCAGCAGCTTGGCCGAAGCTCTGACCCTGCCTCTCCGCATCAAGTACCGACTTGGTATTCAGGCCCGGGCTCGTATAGGTTTAGGGTTTAGGGTTTAGGGTATCGACGTATTTTATTTCTAATATCTATCTTATAAACAAGTAGGTAAATACGTAAGTAACTAAATAGCAAAAAGATAGCTATATAGATATACATACAGCTAGGCTATTTGCCCATCTATACTCGTAACATATGTATATGTATATATATATATATATGCACATACACACATACCATGCTGTCGACATGCGCTTCGCTACAACCTGTAGGATTTGTCGCATTGCTGCATGTGTAAGAAGACTGCAGATAGAGGAGCCTAGCACGTATGTATGTGTGCCATGAGTAAACGAATAGATCAAGCGACAAATATCTAAATCACAATACAAAGCACAAATACACAATTAAAGTATATAAATAGATGCGCAACTACAAAAGCACATAAGTAGACAACTGAGTACACATCTATCTGTATATACACACATATGTATATGTATATGTATATGTATATGTATATGTATATGTATATGTATATGTATATGTATATGTATATGTATATGTATATGTATATGTATATGTATATGTATATGTATATGTATATGTATATGTATATGTATATGTATATGTATATGTATATGTATATGTATATGTATATGTATATGTATATATATGTATATATATATATATATATATATATATATACATATTTTTGTTGGGGGGGGGGCGGGGTTACTTCCTTGTATTTATGCGTATAGGCTGCATAGTATCCCCATTCTGCTGTAATATTGTGGAAACGGCACCTGGTTTTGAACCCCAGGCAGAGTTATTTACCCAAGCAAAGTGTTTAAGCCTTTAGTTCTGGAGGCATGCCGGAGTCTAGACCGTGGCTACCGGTATTGGACATGTTGTAGGTGGTTTTTGCATTTTTGCAGTTTTACAAGGAGTACAATTTTCCAAGATTTCGCCCCTTTGATGTAAACTGACAAATTCATAAACGACCTGTGCTGTTGCCTTGCAACCTTGCAGGTGCCAGCAATAGACTACCATGTGTCATGACCGTGCAAAGGCGATATTGCTTCAAAACGCACCGTGTCATTCCTCAACGGAATGTCATACTTCATCCCAATGTAATTGGAAAATGATTTGCCAATGATGTTTGCAGGTAACGTTGCCACAAGTTCGTCTATGCACCAAGAGATGGAACCTAAGCTGTGTGCTGCAAATCTTGTCAACCCTTACAGTGAGGTCTTGAAAGTCGTTCCTAAATTTTCTATGTGCCTTGATATTCCACTGTGCCGGCTTCTGGGCGCATCGATTTGGGTCTCGGTGTTGACAAAAAATAGAAACATGGGCACCATTAGCCCCCCTCGAGTTGACCACAACGTGCCTTATAAGCCCAACTCTCAAGCATGCAGTTTGCTCATATGACGAGTAGAACCCGAAACCCTTAAGCAAGTAGGAAATTTTGGGTATTTTGCCAGTCAGTTTGATCCCATGAGTGGTTTGGGTACCCAAACCATCTTACCCCCACCAACTCAGACTCACCGCTTCGCCTTTCATGTCAACGCTTACGCCCACCCGCCACAAACCACTTCATTTCACCAGCTAGTTTGACCCCATGAGGCGAGAAGGACTAATTACCGACTGTTCATTTCGGGGAAATGCACGGTGATGTCTTGGATTGGTGATGATGAAATGGCCTGACCATATGGGGGCAATGAATGGTCACATAGTTTCTATCAGTGTCATTCCAAGCCGTAAACCCTAAACCCGTAACGCCCCGGAAAATCGGAAGTCGTATACCTGCTCGCCCAGCTTATAGATTATGAACTTTACCTGCGTCGGCTAACTCATCTCACATGTCCCCGCAGGACCCTGTGGCGATGCCCTTTATCGCTGGCCTGGGTGGGACCCAGAGCTGTAATTTACAATATGAGCTTTGTGCTTCCTGCCCTGGCCTCTAATGCTTATCTCAGTATCCCTCAGTGATGCCATTCTGTAGCCAGTACCGCCACCGGCAGCATGACTGTTGACGCAGCTTGTGCTTCGGGTGCCGTTCTTCATCCTTCATTGCCCTATCATACTCTTCCCTAAACCTAAACCCTACAACCCTAAATTTTAAACCCCAAACCGTCATCCTCGCGTTATAACCGCTCCCTCTACTATGACGGCGACTCCGTGCTGATCCTGACTGTTTGACTGCACACGTGGCATCTAGTTCAGCGAACAAACTGCTGTGAAGTACCAGCCTATGCTGTAGTATACTATAAGATACCGTAAAATACCAGAATAACTCTAGCATACTCTTGTCTAGCAGGCTTTCAATCTGTCAGGCCTACCGCAACCCTCTCAACACGAAACCTCCTGAACACCAAAATCTCCCAGTATGCTGGCAGCCCGAACTGTGTAGCCTCATCTCTCCACACGGCTGTGTTGACGATTTGTGAGTTTCCGAAAATAGGGGACCCGAATTTAGTACTCTAAATAGTAGGATCCTTATTATCAGGACCCCCAAATGAGGTACCCCCAATTTCCGAAACTCCCATTTTGATATTGTTGGTATGCGCACGGTTCTTGCCAGTATAGCATCATGGGTTTTTAATATATTAGTATCACGGGTACGATTTCTCCTTGATCTCTGGCCGCTTCATCATACCCCCCACCAACGCAACCTTAAACCCTAAACCCTAAACTTAAACCCTGTAAAGCCTAAACTACACCCTAAGCCTTAAACTAAACCCTATAAACCCTAAACTAAAGCCAAAGCCCTAAGCTAAACCCTAAGCCTTGAACTAGACCCCAAACCCGAAACTAAGCCCTAAACCCTAAACCAAGCCTTTTGAACCCTAAGCTAAACCCTAAACCAACCCTCAACCCTAAACTAAACCCTAAACCCTCACCTAAACCCTATAAGCCCTACAAGCCCTCGACTAAACCCTAACCTAAACCCTATAAGCCCTAGGCGAAACCTTATATACAAACCCTAAACTAGACCCTAAAACACAACAGAAGTCCCGACCCCAAAGTCGCAGGCACGAAACCCGGGACTGGAGACCCTGAAGCCCGGAGTCTAACTCTTAAATTCCTTGAAGGGATCTTAAAGGCTTCCTCTGAAGGGATCTATGTAGGGCTTTGGGGTTTAGGGTGTTCAGGGTTTAGGGTTTTACCGAGCTCCTAGATATGGAGTATCTTGACATCCGAATATAAGAGCTCGGGCAAAGTAGACACTGAAGCCCAAAGCCCTTAAGTTTTAAAGCCTGCCACCGGTGAAAAACCCTAAAACCCTAAACCTTAAACCCTAAAAAATAAGCCCTAAACCCTAAAAAATAAACCCTAAACCCTAAAAAATAAACCCTAATACCTAAACAAAAATCAAGGACCTGAACCCTTAAAGTCCGAAGCCACATCTCTTAGGAAGCTCGTGGCTTCGGGAATTCAATGTAAAACTAACCTGGGTAGGACCATTTGCCCCGATGGGTTTAGGGTGTAGTGGGGTAGGGTTTAGGGATTTGCACCCTTTCTATCAAGATCTTATCTACCCATATTTTGCAGTTTTGCAGCTCGGTTTCAGGACAGCTCTCCACATCGCAGCCACAACCGGGTGTTTCGAACAGGCGAAATTGCTCTTGCAGCTCTTTGGCCGTTTTGGGGGAATGGGCTGGAAGCTTGAATTTCTTGCTATACCAACCCCAAGCCTAAACCCCGAAAGCTTTAATCCTGAGTGGGCTTGATTGTAGGGCTTGGAGGAGGCCGGAGCATGAGTTTGTTGCTGTAGTTCTTGTGCTTCGGTGACATGGTTTTGGGGTGGATGGTATTGGGTTTCGTGCCTTGGTGTTTGGGAATTTTGGAGTTGCATGTACTTGCAGGGTTTGAGCTTAATTAAACGGATCGTGTGCTTTCGGGGCAGATTCAGTTTCAAAGGTTTGTGTGTGGTGTTTCGGAGTTGGCGGTGTTAGGCGGGGAGGGTGTAGTTTTTGCAGGGTCCTAAACCCTAGAGCCTAAACCCCCAAAACCTGAAACCTGAACCGTGATCCTTGTAGCAAAAAGGATCGTGATAATGATCATATCGGCATCAGTGCTGCGAATACGACTTCTAGGGCTGGGGGCCCAAAGCCAGGGTCATGAGTGCTGGGCGGGCACTTCCTGGTTTGCAAGTGGTGATCTCTTGATTCAATTCTGGCCTTCCTGATACTTAGCCCTAAACCATCACCTGCGACTTCCTTGCAATGTCATCGATTTCTTCCGCTCCGCTCAGGTTCCGCGCGTTTCATTCCTGCCGGCATGAGATGCTAACGGACCTAACCCCGATCCAGCTTGCGAAGGAGTTGGTCTGTGGTTTTACAGATCCTAAACCGCGAAAAACCCGAACCCTAAACCGTAACCCTTTAAATCCTAAACCCTAAACCCTTTAAATCCTTAGCCCTAAACCCTTTAAATCCTTAGCCCTAAACCCTTTAAATCCTTAGCCCTGCACCCTAATCGGCACCTAAGGCACTGAACTCGGGGGATGACATAGGCTATCGCCTGATGGTTGAGAGTTTAGGGTTTAGGGCCTGTGGGGGCAAGGGTTTACAGTAAACGATACCTAGTAAGCCCCAAAGAAAAACCCCTAACCCTTATAAAGCCCCCAAACCCTAAACCCTGAACCCCCTAAACCCTATAGCAAACCCATAAAGTTGGAAACCGGATAAAGGCCACATAGTGCTGGGATTCCCTATGCATTACTCTTGAGGATTGAAGCTATGGGGTTCCAACTTTTGGGCTTCTAATGTAGGGCATGTGGGGGCAAGGGTTGGTAGAGCTCTGGGTGTTTCGAAAGGAGCGCAGGATGCATGAAACCTGGTTGGTGGTGACCTACGAACCAAAGCCTGAACCCTCAACCTTATAACCTAAGCCAACATTGACGCCTCAACCACGGGGAGATGCAGATGGAGACTTGTGAGACCCAGCAGTTTCCTCTACACTTCTCATATGTCTGTGTCATCAAAACAATGAAACAGCCAACAACCCGAAACCCGAAAGCCTACACCGTCAACTGGAAACACTGCGACCTCGACAATAAACTTGCAGCACAGCTTAGAGTCAGCAGGACGTCCAGGACGAAAACATGACAGCTTTGCTACTGCTGGCTGCCGCCGGACGTGATCTGGAGGATTCTGAAATCGACGACATGGACTCTTTGTGCATATGAGGTTTTCGGAAAATGCAAGAGGATGCTAGTGTAGACCCAAAATCGTAGGCCTCAGCAACCCCAAGAAGGTATCCCTATCATCCAGAGGCCCTCCTATAGATTTAAGATATTTCGGACGACTTGAAAGCGCACCTGATCCTGCACAAGCGGCCTCCCCGGCTGCCGTGCCAAGTTCTTGCGGTTTGAGGCAGGGCATGCAAACGTATGCAACTGCCTGCCATCCTCCTGTGGCCAAGTACGGTTGTTGCAATCAGGGAATCGGCTCGGCGTACTTACGTCATCAAGGGTTCATTAAGAATTCGACACGTGCGTGCCGATAGAGGTGGACCCTACTTGGAGAGGCCTCCATGCTACGGCCGCTTAATTTGGGAGCCGCACGAACTTGTCCCAGTTTTTGGTTGCGATCCCTCCTAAACCCTATAAACCCCAAACCGTAAGCCTTAAACCCCAAACCGTAAGCCTTAAACCCCAAACCCTAAACAATCATCCCTCCATCCATCCCTCCCTCCACGCATACATGAATATAAGTCTGTATGCCTGCAGTTATGTGGGTATATATGTAGATATGTAGAGCACATGTATATGTACTTATGTCTTTATGTCTAGATAGATGTAAGGCAGTAAGTAAACATGAATGAATGAATGAATGAATGAATGTCTTTGTGTCTGTATGTCTATGTAAAGGTACGCGTGTACGCACAGACGTACGTACCTTGGCATGTACGAATGAACGTGCAGAGGTATGTACCATGCATGCATGGTGAGTATGGTATGTATGGTATGGTAGGGTCTGGCCTGCTATGTCGTGGTATGGTATGTATGGATGCATGTGTATGCATGCCTGTCAGTTTGTCTGTAGGTATTTACGTATGTATGGTATGCATAAACGCATGTATCTCTGTCTCTGTCTCTGTGTTCGTCTGTCTTGCTCTTGTCAGGCTGGCTATGCAGAGGTTCTATGAGAGCTAGATTACCAAGGGCCAAGGCTTCTACGGGTATGTGGATGAGAACTATGACAGGAGACTTCTCAGTTATCTACTTCAGTGGCAATGTAGACGAGACATTCGTGAAGCTTAGACGTAGATATTTTGGTGGTTCCTTATTATCATATCTATAGTAAAATGGGCCCCAAAACCTGTTCATTCTAGTTGTTAAGGCCCCTATACTACTCCGGTAGGATTCTTATGTGCGCAGGGAATCCATCAGACCCATCAGAGCCTCTCGCAGACCTGATGCCTCCGTCGGCCAAGATTCTTTATCCAGTTGATGCTCGGGGGTTGATCGCAGAATACCCTGAGTCTCGACGATAGCTTTTAACCAGGTCTAGTCTGGCCACTTCGGGGTCGAATCTGTTGGACAGCAGCCAATCCTTCAGAAGGCACCACGGTGATCAGTCGATGACGGAAGTCCGGAGGACTTGTCTGGTTAAGTTTACATTTTCGTGCATCTCAGTGCAGCTTACTCGGCAGCTGTGGTTCACCGGCGGAAGGTGCTACAAAGATTGAGATAGAGGGCAGGTCCTTCTAGAGAGACCTAGAGTTAGTTTCGGTGGGCGTTCTCCCGAGATTTGGTCCAGTTCGGTGTTTTAGGGTTCTGGATTTTAGGGTTTAGGGGTTTTGGGTGTAGAGGTTTAGGGGCTCGACGGAGGAAGTTTGGGGTTGCAACGGCTTAGGGTCTAGGGCTTACTGTTCAGGGAAGCAAGTTCCGGGTCCAGGCTTTCGGGCTCCTGGTTTTGGACTGATCGTGGAGGTTCTGCATGTGGCTAGTTCTTTAAATTCCCGTTTGAGGATCTTTTTTTAAAAGGGTGCCATACTATTGCGGGGACCCAAAAAGGTACCTTTATTTAGAGAACTACACATACGAAGGTTCCCTCAGCGTCCTCTTCGGTCTGGTCGCAGGCCTGCCGAGCCAGTCAAACCTTAAACCCAAGGTTTAACCTTCGCGCGCTAGGTCCAAACCGCCAAGCCCGAACATAGCCGGGATAGTGGTTCAGGGTTTAGGGTCTATTGATCCTTAGGGTTCCTGAACAAGTATAGCAAGCAGTACGCCGCAGCCACAGCGGCCTTGGTGCTGTGCTCACGCTCTGTGCGGTTGTGTAAATCCGGAATTCCGGTAAACCGGACGAGGTCGCGACCGGATCTGTGCGGGCCTCTTCCCGTATTCTGCATATTTGTACCGCAAAAACATGACGCCTCGGAGTGAAAAGGAAACCGTGGGCAGATGTTGTTTGGCCATCAACAACCCTAAACCCTAAACCCCTTAACCCCCTGAACCCCCAAACCACCTAAACCACCTAAACCACCTTAACCCTAAACCCTAAACCCCCAGAGCCCGAAACCCTTAAGATAAAGTATCCCCCGGGTCAGACTCGGGCCACCCTAAGCCCTTCAAATCCCCTGAACCCACAATATGGGAGTTTCCGAAAATGGGGGGTACCTTTAAAGGGATCTATAAGGGTTTCTTTAAGGGTTCTTTAAAGGGATCTATAGGGTTTAGGGTTTGGGAGTTTCCGAAAATGGGGGGGTACCTTATTTGGGGGTCCTTATAATAAGGATCCTACTATTTCTGGTACTATATTAGGGTCCCCTATTTTCGGAAAGTCCCATATCGGGGCCTCAATAATTACCAGTACCATGCATTAGGGCATTAGGGTCCTTAGAGGAAAGCTACCGGAGCCCCAAAACCCCATTCTAATTATTGAGGTCCCTATATTAGACCCCAAAACCGAAACCCTTCAACCCATCTAAACCCTTAAGTCCCTCCGACCGAGTGAGTTTCCGTAAATATAGAACCCTAAACAGCCCAAAACCCGATTCTTCCGGCGAAGCTACTGTGAGCCTTCCTCAGCCCCAAGACACTTGGGACCACAGATTTTAGGGTTTAGGGCTTAGGGACACAGAGTTTAATCTTATCCCCTTGAGGGTTCAGGGCTATCAGGGTGAAGGAAGTGCAGAACCTGAGGTTAGGGTCTAGAGTTTAGGAACTAAGCATATGTCAACGGGCGCCTGACCTCCTCAGTTGTCATCTCGAGTCTTGAACGGCCGTGGCGAAGAAGCAACTACTTTCAGCCGCTAGCTCTTCAATCGAACCCAAAGTCCCAAACCCTAAACCCTAAATCGAAACCCGAAAGCCGAGCCCCGAATCCCGAAAACCCTAAACCCTTTTTCCTCAGACCCGAAGTCAGTTTCTTTCTGACATGTGGAATGACGGCGCTTTGAACTCGCCTCGGCAACATTTCTAAAGCTTTGCTCGTTTAGGGTTTAGGTCCGGGGTTTAGGTCAAGGTTTTGGTCAGGGTCTACTGCTGCAGGTTCCGGGTCCATTTCTTCTTGGTTCTTGGTAGAGGATTAGGGTTTGGGGATGGGGTTTTGAAGTCTTTGAGCACGACCAAGGAGTTTATCCGCAACCAGCAGCAATCCGAAGTGCACACGAATCTAGGACGTTCAGTGATACACTTTTGGTTTCAGTTTAAAGCTTTTTGTTTTGTTATGGTAAAAGGCAAAGATTCCCTAAGCCCCTCAACCCTAAACTAAACCCTAAACCCCTCAACCCCTAAACCCTAAACCCTATACGTCTTCCCAGTGAGTGGTCTACTGAAGGAATCCTCCTGGAACATAGAGCAGATCCGAATCTGGAGGGAACTCTGGGAGGGCGGCCGTCTCTCGGTTTGGAGATTAGGGCCTTTGAGGTTTAGGCGTTTGGGGTCTAGGGTTTAGAGATTAGGGTTTAGGGTTTAGGGGTTTACGGTCTAGGGTTAAGGGTTTAGGGGCAGTGCTGTGTTTAGGTTTTGGGATATTATGGCTTACTTTGGGACTTGGGGCTTTTAGGGTGGAGGGTTCCGTGTTTACCTGCGACCCCAAACCCTCCAAAATAGTAGGTCATGACCCCTTTCTTTGACGGTGGAACGCTAAAACGGTAGGTTGTTGGATCCCCAGTTCTGGTTTCAGGACTTTTTTGGGGTCCTAAACCCGAAACCCTAAATCAGGGTTTGGGCGGGCGGAGAAGCTTGCGGGTTCTTTAGGGTTTAGGGTTTAGGGCTTCGGGATTATAGGGTTTAGGGTTTTAGGGCTTCGGGATTTTGCAAGGTTTAGGGCTCCGGGGTTTGGAGCCGTGCACCGTCCTCAAACTGCCCCCAGAGCCAAATCCTCTTATGCGCATTCCGTCCGAACCGGGGCTCCGATGGCGGGGCACGAAATTAGTCCCTGTACTCGCCACCCTACGTGGCAAACCAGTGGACACCAAAGCACACAATGCGATAGTAGCCCGGCGTCCCAAAGCATAGGAAAGCGAGTGCGGGGGTGGCGACACACGGTTCAGGGCCCACCCGAGTGTTCTAGCATAAGCGTACCCAGACACCCAAAGGCTTTGTATGGCGGCCTTGATGCAAGCAGACGCACGGCACACGCAGCTCTTGTTGGAAGCCCGTGCCGACCCGAACTTCGCTCTTCTTTGGAAGTCTTTCTTTGAGTCGAGGGTTTTGGGGTTTTGCTTTTCAAAGTCTGGGGAGTTAAGGGTTAGAGGTGTAGGGTTTAGGATCACGGAGTTTGAGGGTCTGGTTAAATTTCTGTGGCACATTGAGTTGAACTGGGGCGTTTCTTTGGAGTCCCAAGTGATATTCGGAAGCATGCCGCTCTCCGGGGTCTTGATACCTGATATCCGGTCAATGCTTGGATTTCGTTCCGGAGGGCTTCTGGGCTTAGGATTTTGGGATTCCACTCTCGGTTGCTGTGTGTGGGCTTGCGCACCTGAACCTGAGGAGCCACGACGCTCGCAGGTGTAGGAATCGGCACAAGAGCGAGATGGGTTCGAAAGTCACATAGGCCTATGGCGATCTCTTGACATCTTCTTGCATCCAGATCTTACGGATAAGCCTGACCAAACCCTAAACCCCAAATCCCAAAATCCCTAAACCCTAAGCCCTAAAGCCCTACAGCCCTAAGCCCTAAACCCTGAGCCCAAAGCCTAAGTACAGGAATGGCATCAGCCGCAGCAGCTTGGCCGAAGCTCTGACCCTGCCTCTCCGCATCAAGTACCGACTTGGTATTCAGGCCCGGGCTCGTATAGGTTTAGGGTTTAGGGTTTAGGGTATCGACGTATTTTATTTCTAATATCTATCTTATAAACAAGTAGGTAAATACGTAAGTAACTAAATAGCAAAAAGATAGCTATATAGATATACATACAGCTAGGCTATTTGCCCATCTATACTCGTAACATATGTATATGTATATATATATATATATGCACATACACACATACCATGCTGTCGACATGCGCTTCGCTACAACCTGTAGGATTTGTCGCATTGCTGCATGTGTAAGAAGACTGCAGATAGAGGAGCCTAGCACGTATGTATGTGTGCCATGAGTAAACGAATAGATCAAGCGACAAATATCTAAATCACAATACAAAGCACAAATACACAATTAAAGTATATAAATAGATGCGCAACTACAAAAGCACATAAGTAGACAACTGAGTACACATCTATCTGTATATACACACATATGTATATGTATATGTATATGTATATGTATATGTATATGTATATGTATATGTATATGTATATGTATATGTATATGTATATGTATATGTATATGTATATGTATATGTATATGTATATGTATATGTATATGTATATGTATATGTATATGTATATGTATATGTATATGTATATGTATATGTATATGTATATGTGTATATGTATATGTATATATATATATATATATATATATATATATATATATATATACATATTTTTGTTGGGGGGGGGGCGGGGTTACTTCCTTGTATTTATGCGTATAGGCTGCATAGTATCCCCATTCTGCTGTAATATTGTGGAAACGGCACCTGGTTTTGAACCCCAGGCAGAGTTATTTACCCAAGCAAAGTGTTTAAGCCTTTAGTTCTGGAGGCATGCCGGAGTCTAGACCGTGGCTACCGGTATTGGACATGTTGTAGGTGGTTTTTGCATTTTTGCAGTTTTACAAGGAGTACAATTTTCCAAGATTTCGCCCCTTTGATGTAAACTGACAAATTCATAAACGACCTGTGCTGTTGCCTTGCAACCTTGCAGGTGCCAGCAATAGACTACCATGTGTCATGACCGTGCAAAGGCGATATTGCTTCAAAACGCACCGTGTCATTCCTCAACGGAATGTCATACTTCATCCCAATGTAATTGGAAAATGATTTGCCAATGATGTTTGCAGGTAACGTTGCCACAAGTTCGTCTATGCACCAAGAGATGGAACCTAAGCTGTGTGCTGCAAATCTTGTCAACCCTTACAGTGAGGTCTTGAAAGTCGTTCCTAAATTTTCTATGTGCCTTGATATTCCACTGTGCCGGCTTCTGGGCGCATCGATTTGGGTCTCGGTGTTGACAAAAAATAGAAACATGGGCACCATTAGCCCCCCTCGAGTTGACCACAACGTGCCTTATAAGCCCAACTCTCAAGCATGCAGTTTGCTCATATGACGAGTAGAACCCGAAACCCTTAAGCAAGTAGGAAATTTTGGGTATTTTGCCAGTCAGTTTGATCCCATGAGTGGTTTGGGTACCCAAACCATCTTACCCCCACCAACTCAGACTCACCGCTTCGCCTTTCATGTCAACGCTTACGCCCACCCGCCACAAACCACTTCATTTCACCAGCTAGTTTGACCCCATGAGGCGAGAAGGACTAATTACCGACTGTTCATTTCGGGGAAATGCACGGTGATGTCTTGGATTGGTGATGATGAAATGGCCTGACCATATGGGGGCAATGAATGGTCACATAGTTTCTATCAGTGTCATTCCAAGCCGTAAACCCTAAACCCGTAACGCCCCGGAAAATCGGAAGTCGTATACCTGCTCGCCCAGCTTATAGATTATGAACTTTACCTGCGTCGGCTAACTCATCTCACATGTCCCCGCAGGACCCTGTGGCGATGCCCTTTATCGCTGGCCTGGGTGGGACCCAGAGCTGTAATTTACAATATGAGCTTTGTGCTTCCTGCCCTGGCCTCTAATGCTTATCTCAGTATCCCTCAGTGATGCCATTCTGTAGCCAGTACCGCCACCGGCAGCATGACTGTTGACGCAGCTTGTGCTTCGGGTGCCGTTCTTCATCCTTCATTGCCCTATCATACTCTTCCCTAAACCTAAACCCTACAACCCTAAATTTTAAACCCCAAACCGTCATCCTCGCGTTATAACCGCTCCCTCTACTATGACGGCGACTCCGTGCTGATCCTGACTGTTTGACTGCACACGTGGCATCTAGTTCAGCGAACAAACTGCTGTGAAGTACCAGCCTATGCTGTAGTATACTATAAGATACCGTAAAATACCAGAATAACTCTAGCATACTCTTGTCTAGCAGGCTTTCAATCTGTCAGGCCTACCGCAACCCTCTCAACACGAAACCTCCTGAACACCAAAATCTCCCAGTATGCTGGCAGCCCGAACTGTGTAGCCTCATCTCTCCACACGGCTGTGTTGACGATTTGTGAGTTTCCGAAAATAGGGGACCCGAATTTAGTACTCTAAATAGTAGGATCCTTATTATCAGGACCCCCAAATGAGGTACCCCCAATTTCCGAAACTCCCATTTTGATATTGTTGGTATGCGCACGGTTCTTGCCAGTATAGCATCATGGGTTTTTAATATATTAGTATCACGGGTACGATTTCTCCTTGATCTCTGGCCGCTTCATCATACCCCCCACCAACGCAACCTTAAACCCTAAACCCTAAACTTAAACCCTGTAAAGCCTAAACTACACCCTAAGCCTTAAACTAAACCCTATAAACCCTAAACTAAAGCCAAAGCCCTAAGCTAAACCCTAAGCCTTGAACTAGACCCCAAACCCGAAACTAAGCCCTAAACCCTAAACCAAGCCTTTTGAACCCTAAGCTAAACCCTAAACCAACCCTCAACCCTAAACTAAACCCTAAACCCTCACCTAAACCCTATAAGCCCTACAAGCCCTCGACTAAACCCTAACCTAAACCCTATAAGCCCTAGGCGAAACCTTATATACAAACCCTAAACTAGACCCTAAAACACAACAGAAGTCCCGACCCCAAAGTCGCAGGCACGAAACCCGGGACTGGAGACCCTGAAGCCCGGAGTCTAACTCTTAAATTCCTTGAAGGGATCTTAAAGGCTTCCTCTGAAGGGATCTATGTAGGGCTTTGGGGTTTAGGGTGTTCAGGGTTTAGGGTTTTACCGAGCTCCTAGATATGGAGTATCTTGACATCCGAATATAAGAGCTCGGGCAAAGTAGACACTGAAGCCCAAAGCCCTTAAGTTTTAAAGCCTGCCACCGGTGAAAAACCCTAAAACCCTAAACCTTAAACCCTAAAAAATAAGCCCTAAACCCTAAAAAATAAACCCTAAACCCTAAAAAATAAACCCTAATACCTAAACAAAAATCAAGGACCTGAACCCTTAAAGTCCGAAGCCACATCTCTTAGGAAGCTCGTGGCTTCGGGAATTCAATGTAAAACTAACCTGGGTAGGACCATTTGCCCCGATGGGTTTAGGGTGTAGTGGGGTAGGGTTTAGGGATTTGCACCCTTTCTATCAAGATCTTATCTACCCATATTTTGCAGTTTTGCAGCTCGGTTTCAGGACAGCTCTCCACATCGCAGCCACAACCGGGTGTTTCGAACAGGCGAAATTGCTCTTGCAGCTCTTTGGCCGTTTTGGGGGAATGGGCTGGAAGCTTGAATTTCTTGCTATACCAACCCCAAGCCTAAACCCCGAAAGCTTTAATCCTGAGTGGGCTTGATTGTAGGGCTTGGAGGAGGCCGGAGCATGAGTTTGTTGCTGTAGTTCTTGTGCTTCGGTGACATGGTTTTGGGGTGGATGGTATTGGGTTTCGTGCCTTGGTGTTTGGGAATTTTGGAGTTGCATGTACTTGCAGGGTTTGAGCTTAATTAAACGGATCGTGTGCTTTCGGGGCAGATTCAGTTTCAAAGGTTTGTGTGTGGTGTTTCGGAGTTGGCGGTGTTAGGCGGGGAGGGTGTAGTTTTTGCAGGGTCCTAAACCCTAGAGCCTAAACCCCCAAAACCTGAAACCTGAACCGTGATCCTTGTAGCAAAAAGGATCGTGATAATGATCATATCGGCATCAGTGCTGCGAATACGACTTCTAGGGCTGGGGGCCCAAAGCCAGGGTCATGAGTGCTGGGCGGGCACTTCCTGGTTTGCAAGTGGTGATCTCTTGATTCAATTCTGGCCTTCCTGATACTTAGCCCTAAACCATCACCTGCGACTTCCTTGCAATGTCATCGATTTCTTCCGCTCCGCTCAGGTTCCGCGCGTTTCATTCCTGCCGGCATGAGATGCTAACGGACCTAACCCCGATCCAGCTTGCGAAGGAGTTGGTCTGTGGTTTTACAGATCCTAAACCGCGAAAAACCCGAACCCTAAACCGTAACCCTTTAAATCCTAAACCCTAAACCCTTTAAATCCTTAGCCCTAAACCCTTTAAATCCTTAGCCCTAAACCCTTTAAATCCTTAGCCCTGCACCCTAATCGGCACCTAAGGCACTGAACTCGGGGGATGACATAGGCTATCGCCTGATGGTTGAGAGTTTAGGGTTTAGGGCCTGTGGGGGCAAGGGTTTACAGTAAACGATACCTAGTAAGCCCCAAAGAAAAACCCCTAACCCTTATAAAGCCCCCAAACCCTAAACCCTGAACCCCCTAAACCCTATAGCAAACCCATAAAGTTGGAAACCGGATAAAGGCCACATAGTGCTGGGATTCCCTATGCATTACTCTTGAGGATTGAAGCTATGGGGTTCCAACTTTTGGGCTTCTAGTGTAGGGCATGTGGGGGCAAGGGTTGGTAGAGCTCTGGGTGTTTCGAAAGGAGCGCAGGATGCATGAAACCTGGTTGGTGGTGACCTACGAACGACAGCCTGAACCCTCAACCTTATAACCTAAGCCAACATTGACGCCTCAACCACCGGGAGATGCAGATGGAGACTTGTGAGACCCAGCAGTTTCCTCTACACTTCTCATATGTCTGTGTCATCAAAACAATGAAACAGCCAACAACCCGAAACCCGAAAGCCTACACCGTCAACTGGAAACACTGCGACCTCGACAATAAACTTGCAGCACAGCTTAGAGCAGGACGTCCAGGACGAAAACATGACAGCTTTGCTACTGCTGGCTGCCGCCGGACGTGATCTGGAGGATTCTGAAATCGACGACATGGACTCTTTGTGCATATGAGGTTCTCGGAAAATGCAAGAGGATGATAGTGTAGACCCAAAATCGTAGGCCTCAGCAACCCCAAGAAGGTATCCCTATCATCCAGAGGCCCTCCTATAGATTTAAGATATTTCGGACGACTTGAAAGCGCACCTGATCCTGCACAAGCGGCCTCCCCGGCTGCCGTGCCAAGTTCTTGCGGTTTGAGGCAGGGCATGCAAACGTATGCAACTGCCTGCCACCCTCCTGTGGCCAAGTACGGTTGTTGCAATCAGGGAATCGGCTCGGCGTACTTACGTCATCAAGGGTTCATTAAGAATTCGACACGTGCGTGCCGATAGAGGTGGACCCTACTTGGAGAGGCCTCCATGCTACGGCCGCTTAATTTGGGAGCCGCACGAACTTGTCCCAGTTTTTGGTTGAGATCCCTCCTAAACCCTATAAACCCCAAACCGTAAGCCTTAAACCCCAAACCGTAAGCCTTAAACCCCAAACCCTAAACAATCATCCCTCCATCCATCCCTCCCTCCACGCATACATGAATATAAGTCTGTATGCCTGCAGTTATGTGGGTATATATGTAGATATGTAGAGCACATGTATATGTACTTATGTCTTTATGTCTAGATAGATGTAAGGCAGTAAGTAAACATGAATGAATGAATGAATGAATGTCTTTGTGTCTGTATGTCTATGTAAAGGTACGCGTGTACGCACAGACGTACGTACCTTGGCATGTACGAATGAACGTGCAGAGGTATGTACCATGCATGCATGGTGAGTATGGTATGTATGGTATGGTAGGGTCTGGCCTGCTATGTCGTGGTATGGTATGTATGGATGCATGTGTATGCATGCCTGTCAGTTTGTCTGTAGGTATTTACGTATGTATGGTATGCATAAACGCATGTATCTCTGTCTCTGTCTCTGTGTTCGTCTGTCTTGCTCTTGTCAGGCTGGCTATGCAGAGGTTCTATGAGAGCTAGATTACCAAGGGCCAAGGCTTCTACGGGTATGTGGATGAGAACTATGACAGGAGACTTCTCAGTTATCTACTTCAGTGGCAATGTAGACGAGACATTCGTGAAGCTTAGACGTCGATATTTTGGTGGTTCCTTATTATCATATCTATAGCAAAATGGGCCCCAAAACCTGTTCATTCTAGTTGTTAAGGCCCCTATACTACTCCGGTAGGATTCTTATGTGCGCAGGGAATCCATCAGACCCATCAGAGCCTCTCGCAGACCTGATGCCTCCGTCGGCCAAGATTCTTTATCCAGTTGATGCTCGGGGGTTGATCGCAGAATACCCTGAGTCTCGACGATAGCTTTTAACCAGGTCTAGTCTGGCCACTTCGGGGTCGAATCTGTTGGACAGCAGCCAATCCTTCAGAAGGCACCACGGTGATCAGTCGATGACGGAAGTCCGGAGGACTTGTCTGGTTAAGTTTACATTTTCGTGCATCTCAGTGCAGCTTACTCGGCAGCTGTGGTTCACCGGCGGAAGGTGCTACAAAGATTGAGATAGAGGGCAGGTCCTTCTAGAGAGACCTAGAGTTAGTTTCGGTGGGCGTTGTCCCGAGATTTGGTCCAGTTCGGTGTTTTAGGGTTCTGGATTTTAGGGTTTAGGGGTTTTGGGTGTAGAGGTTTAGGGGCTCGACGGAGGAAGTTTGGGGTTGCAACGGCTTAGGGTCTAGGGCTTACTGTTCAGGGAAGCAAGTTCCGGGTCCAGGCTTTCGGGCTCCTGGTTTTGGACTGATCGTGGAGGTTCTGCATGTGGCTAGTTCTTTAAATTCCCGTTTGAGGATCTTTTTTTAAAAGGGTGCCATACTATTGCGGGGACCCAAAAAGGTACCTTTATTTAGAGAACTACACATACGAAGGTTCCCTCAGCGTCCTCTTCGGTCTGGTCGCAGGCCTGCCGAGCCAGTCAAACCTTAAACCCAAGGTTTAACCTTCGCGCGCTAGGTCCAAACCGCCAAGCCCGAACATAGCCGGGATAGTGGTTCAGGGTTTAGGGTCTATTCCGCAGCCACAGCGGCCTTGGTGCTGTGCTCACGCTCTCCGTGCGGTTGTGTAAATCCGGAATTCCGGTAAACCGGACGAGGTCGCGACCGGATCTGTGCGGGCCTCTTCCCGTATTCTGCATATTTGTACCGCAAAAACATGACGCCTCGGAGTGAGAAGGAAACCGTGGGCAGATGTTGTTTGGCCATTAACAACCCTGAACCCTGAACCCCATAACCCCCTGAACCCCCAAACCACCTAAACCACCTAAACCACCTTAACCCTAAACCCTAAACCCCCAGAGCCCGAAACCCTTAAGATAAAGTATCCCCCGGGTCAGACTCGGGCCACCCTAAGCCCTTCAAATCCCCTAAACCCACAATATGGGAGTTTCCGAAAATGGGGGGTACCTTTAAAGGGATCTATAAGGGTTCCTTTAAGGGTTCTTTAAAGGGATCTATAGGGTTTAGGGTTTGGGAGTTTCCGAAAATGGGGGGGTACCTTATTTGGGGGTCCTTATAATAAGGATCCTACTATTTCTGGTACTATATTAGGGTCCCCTATTTTCGGAAAGTCCCATATCGGGGCCTCAATAATTACCAGTACCATTCATTAGGGCATTAGGGTCCTTAGAGGAAAGCTACCGGAGCCCCAAAACCCCATTCTAATTATTGAGGTCCCTATATTAGACCCCAAAACCGAAACCTTTCAAGCCATCTAAACCCTTAAGTCCCTCCGACCGAGTTTCCGTAAAACTAGAACCCTAAACAGCCCCAAACCCGATTCTTCCGGCGAAGCTACTGTGAGCCTTCCTCAGCCCCAAGAAACTTGGGACCACAGATTTTAGGGTTTTGGGCTTAGGGACACAAAGTTTTAATCTTATCCCCTTGAGGGTTCAGGGCTATCAGGGTGAAGGAAGTGCAGGGCCTGAGGTTAGGGTCTAGAGTTTAGGAACCAAGCATATGTTAACGCAGTCCAAAAATTCCACCCTAAACCCTAAGCATCGGCGATGTCCAATCTCCCGGACCCCAGGCTCAGGGCTCGCAATTCCTTTGGGTTGTAGCACTCTCAGCAGATGATAGTTGGATTTGCTGAATTACTTCAACCAGGAACCCCGAGTTACAGTTTTACAGGGGCTAATCATAGGGTTATGGTGTTTGGTTGTAGCAACCTGATTCAGGGCGGACCTTGGAATTGAGAGTATTTTTGTTCGGGATTCCGCCTTTCAGGTATATCACGCATTCTGGTAATTGATCTCGGGCCCAGACTAACTAGTAGTCATAGTGCCCGATGGTCCAAATAGAATTACAGTATTTAAGCCTTATGGGGCTGAATAGTTAGTGCTGGCATGGCCTCACAGCCCCTCATAGATTTACATACCTCATACTCTGCTTTCATCATTATTTACACCCAACCAATTCCCTGTAACTCTCCTCTCGGAACCCGGAACCCTAGATTTATGTCAGCCCCGTATACATTGCGGGGCCCAGATATTGATCAAGACCTATGCCCTCATCAACTACGCTAATCAACGGTCAGCTGAATCCCATCGTCCCCGAAGTTTCCAAAGCTTCGTGTCTAGTCCCCTGAGCCGTGGTGAGCCCCCAGAAAGGCCGCTTGAGGGTTTCGGGTTGAGGGCTTGACCCTAAACCTTAAACCCTACACCTCAAACCCCACACACCTTAACCCTAACCTTCAGGTTCAGGGTTGAGGGTGTAAAGGCTTAGGGTGGCCGCACTTTGTACCCGAAAGCCCTATTCTCATTGTTCGGGCCTAGACCAGATCTTTTTGTGGCATTTAATTTAAGTTACCATGGTAAGGAAACCCTACCATGTACGATAGACCCTATCATGGTAACTTAAATCAGATTCCGTAACAAGCACCCAGGAGAAGCTTTAATCAAATCCAGTTGCAGCCTGCCGCATCCGATGTCATGGGACCAGGGCTTTGTCGAAACATCCCCTGAGCCCGATGAGCCGTTTAGGGTTCAGGGCTTGAGGTTTAATACAGGGGCCTAAATAATTACCAATACTATAACTGATTCCTTAATATAAGTATAATACAATGGGCCCCAAAACCCTATTCTAATGATTAAGGCCCCTATAGTAGGGTTTAGGACTAGGGTTGACGTACAAAGATCAACACCCTCGCCTCCCCCCCTCCCCCCAACATCCGCCAGGCCTCGCCCCTTCTCCTCCACAACCCGGAGCCCTCAACCCTGGACCGTTGGCCTCTCAGCTCTAAACACGAAACCCGGAGCCCGAAACCCTTCAACCCGAAGCCCCAACTCCTTGAACCCTAAGCGCTGAGTGGTGAGTAGTGCCCTGCCCTGCTATGCCAAGCGCGGCGGCACTGGTAGGTAATTCCGAAGATCCTGGTTTGGGCTCCTTGACATGACTTTTACCTTCGCGGTTTGGGTGCAGGTTCTAGAGGTTGGAGAGGTTTCGGGTTTGAGGGATTAGATTTAGTGTTTAGGGCTTGGGGCTTCAGGGGGTTTGGGTGTTTTAGGCTAAGGGTTTACAGGGTTTAGCAGGTTTTGGGTTGGGGTTTGGGGGGTTCTGGATTTGGTGTCACTTTCCAGGGTTTCGGGCCTAGGGTTCCTTTCTGATGCTATTGCTGCTCAGTGTGCCAGACTTGTCCTTGATTCCCAGCCTGAGCCTGCCAATTTGAGTTTCTCCAGCCTCTTGCTATCTTCTATTCAGTTAAGATTGGTCATTAGCAGAAAGGACAGGCCCATAAACAAAGAGCATGAGAGAGGACGGCTAAAATCATTGTAAAAAACGGAACAAGCCCATACTAATGCTAGCAGTACTGATACTGATAATAACAACAACAAAAACAAAAATGACAACAGGACTAGTACGACATATCTTAAAGGAATTAAGAATATCAGTTATAACACGAGTAAGCATTCATGTCGAGCCCAGGGTTCCGTGCGCTGTCTGCAGATGTGACACCATCCCAGCCTCAGCGCAGAGCCTTGGCTTTTCGGTAATGGGAATCCCATAAGAGGTG